CCTCCAGCCACCTTTCCAGTATTTGGCGGCCAATACAGAGGAGAGATAACAAGGACTTCCTCTAAGAAAACTGAGCTCTGCTATAAAGCTTGTGTTGGGGTATAAGGCTAATACCCACCTCAGACACTGTCATTGTTAAAATATGAAATCTGAGTGTCAACATACATAAGAGTAGATGACGGGAACTGCGTGTGCTTTAGTCTGGCTGTAGAACCTAGGGATTCTTCATGATGAAATTTTCCTGTAATATCCATACATAGGCAAACACAACAACACTAAAGAGAACGAAGAAAAGCCAAGGGATAAAAATGCCAAGTAACACATGCCTATAAGGGAGCATGATTACTGTCATAAAAAAGCGATATTTGGAGGGATCATTAGTGTGTCTGAAAACCTGCGTTGGTTGTTTTCTTGGCCATCCTTTGATTTAGCAGTTACTGTGTTTATACAGCAATTAACACAGTAACATGGTTAACTTAGCTTACTTTCACTTTTAGTGATCTAATTATGGAAAGAGTGGAAAGGAGTGGAAATAAGGAATTAAAGATCAACAGCAGTTAAAAAAAAAAAACAAGAAATTATATTTTAAAAAAGAATAAGGCTGGGGAGGGGACCAGGAAAGAGTCAAACCTCCCTGACACAGCCTCCTGGCCAGCCCATTTTTACTTTTTTTTTTTTTTTTAAGATTTTATTTGGGAGAGAAAGTGTGTGTGTGTGAGCACAAGTGGGCAGGGAGAAGGGGGTGAGGGAGAGGGAGAAGCAGGTAACCAATAAGTAGGGAGCCCAATTTAGGGCTCGATCCCAGGACTCTGAGATCATGACCTGAACCAAAGGCAGCCACTTAACCAACTGAGCCACCCAGGCAGCCCTCATTTTTACTTTATATTCCTTAAATAATGCACATTCAGATCTCCCTTCCTGAAAAGCGAGCTCTGTGATCAGGATCCAAGCCTGGGCCCTCTGTCTTCCCCATAGGGCTCACCCCTGTGCGGGATCCACACTCGGATTCAACTGTTTACACTTGCCAGTTGAAAGATAAAAGGAATCGGAAAGACCTAAAGGGGAAGGACCAGAGTAGATAGGTCAGTCGTCTGAAAGTTGAACTTGAAGTCTGCCCAGTTGGAGCAGAGCTCACAGATGAGGTAGGTAGACATCGATGGTTAGGGTGAAAGTCTCTGGAAGTTTTTAACAGTGGAAATGCTGTTATGTTCCATCTGGTTATACTCAGCTTCAGTGATAAAAACTTTGCACAGAGAAAGTTCTTTGGTGAGTGATGCCTCTTCCTCTCCTCTCCTGAGCAAATTTGTTCTTCTTAGCATACTACTACAAGAATCTTGGGATATTTTACTTACACCTTACATCCATTACAGGCAGTCAGAATCAATCTCATAGATGTTGCTTTCCAGCAAAGCAAGCTGAATCTTTCACTCATTACTAACCAGAGCAAGACAAAAACTTCTCTCTTAAGACTCATTATCTGTCTCCAGAATATTCAGACAATCTAATCTCCTCTTCCTTCCTATTACTCATCCCCATCCAGCCATTCCTGTCAAGGTCCTGGGAATACACTTGAAGTCTTCACATCAGACTGATTTTTGCCAGGATGCCTTCCCTTTTGTCTAATTTAGGAATTAATTATATACCATTTCAAATTATTCTTTGTTTTACATGTTCCAGTTGAGCCAAACTGCAGTATTAGCTGGAAGAGACCTGGCAACGGAGTTCAGTGGTTAAGGACCCAGCTGCTAGAGTCAGGAGCCTGTGTGGGAACCCAGGTCTTGCCACTGAATAGCTAGCTGTCCTCAAGCAAGTTATTTAGCCTCTCCATGCTTCAGGTTCCTCATCTGTAAATACGTAATAAATAAGGATGTAAATAAGTAAATAAGGATGAAGATGGTAACAGCAGGGGTGCCTGGGTGGCTCAGTTGATTAAGCGGCGCCTTCAGCTCAGGTCCTGATCTCAGGGTCCTGGGATCAAGCCCCACATCAGGCTCTCAGCTCATGCGAGAGCCTTCTTCTCCCTCTTCTTTGGCTACTCTTCCTGCTTGTTCTCTCTCTGTGTGTCAAATAAATAAACAAAATCTTAAAAAAGACGATGGTAACAGTAGCTAACAATAACCTTACCAAGTAGGGTCGATAGGAGGATTAAAAGAATTACAGTGTGTGAGGAAGTCAGAAAAGTTCATGGGCTAGAACACTGTGGAAGCTTTCATGCTTATTAGTTATGTCCCACAGAGCTTAGCACCCAGAAGAATAAAGGGCTTCATATATACATATTCATTTTTATAACTTTCTATTGCATATGTAGTACAAGTGTAATGGGTAATAATTAGAAAACACAATAGAAAAAACAATAAAATAAAGATATAGAAAAAAATAAAATAAAAACTGCATGTCAACTGTATTCAAATTAAAACACAAACAAAAACACACCAGCAATGGTACTGCCTGGAGTTAATACTATCGGTATTTTCATATATTCCATTCATCAATTAAACAGAATTTACTGGGGCGCTTGAGTGACTCAGTTGATTGAGCATCCAATTCGGTTTTGGCTCAGGTCACCATCTCAGGGTCCTGGGATCAAGCCCCGTGTTGGGCTTTGTGCTGAGTGCAGAGTCTGCTTCAGATTCTCTCTCCCTGTCCCTCTCATTCATTCTCTCTCTCAAATAAATAAATAAACAAAATCTTAAAAAAATAAACAGCATTTACTGAGCACCCAAGATATAGTAAGCTTCATGCTCTTGCTGTCTATGATGTTGAGCAAAAAGAGACACACCTCCTGCCTCACAGAATTTACCATCTGGTGGGAAGACACACCTTCATCAGGTAATGATAGAACTATGGGAAGCTGTAAGTGTGATTATTGCTATAAAGGAGAGGTACGTATGTAGTAGGGAGACCTGACCTAGTTTTGAAGGTCTCTGTTATTGAAGGTGGTAAGGCAATGATTACTGAGTTGAGAATTAATACATAGGAATTACCTCGAAGTCGGAAGGGAAGAGTGTGAACAACAGAGGCACAATAAATCCAAACGCCCTGTTGTGGAAGGGAGTATGATGGGTGGAGGGGAGTAAAAAAAAGGACCCAAGGTGACTGCAGTGTAGTAGATAAACCTAGTGGCTTAGGGAGAGGGCACACTTAGCAGAGCTTAGTACCCTTAATTTAGAAATTATATTTATTCATTTGACAAATTTTGCCTATGAGGAACCAAGGATGTACTCCTTTTACATAAATCAGAGTTTTTTAAAAAAAGATTTTATTTATTTATTTGGCAGAGAGAGTGCAGGAGCACACAAGCAGGGGGAGTGGCAGAGGGAGAGGGAGAAGCAGACTCCCTGCTGAGCAGGGGGCCAGATGCAGGACTTGATCCTAGGACCCTGGGATCATGACCTGAGCCAAAGGCAATTGCTTAACCAACTGAGCCACCCAGGCACCCTTACATAAATTAGACTTACAGCATACACTGTTTTTATTAGGAACATTTTTTGAACAATAAATATACAATAATTTAACCTCTTACTGTTGAAAATATAGTTTCTAATTTTCCACTATTTTGAACAATACTATGACAGATGCTTTTGTATATGGACATCTGTCCAAACATTTAACAAAAATTTCTACAAGTGGAATCGCTGGTTCTGCAAATTTGTTAGTATGTTTTAATCATAAGCTTGTCTGGAAAATCAGCACATTCAACTGTCAAGATTTGATGCTATGTGACACTCTGGTCTTTTGAGGTTGATACCACTATTACGTTTGGGGGGCATTTTTGGTGACTTTCAGAAAACCGCACTCTTATTTTCTTCTGTGTGTGAGAAAGGCCCTCCTATTTCTGACTCTTCCTAGTCTTTCCCACAAATTCAGATCACTCAGTACTGACTGCCAGTGAAGTGCCTCTAGCTGAAGCTCTAGAAGCCTGACTGACCTACTCCCTCCACAGGAGAGGAAAGGCGATTTTAAATCTGTCTCTGAAGGACCTTCCACTGGATTTGAGCCACACTGGAAGAGAAGGCAGGCTCTGATATTCCTTTCATCTCCTCTGGCCTCCTGTTTCGTCCAGTTTCATTTTCATGCAGTAAATTCACTAATTTAATTTAATTTAAGGTAAATGGAACTTAGATGATTCTATTACAGACCATTTCCATTCTACTGATTTGACAAATGCCATCGTCTCGAGTCTGTCTTCCATGGAGCACCTTCAGTATCTACTGGCAAACTGTCATTTTCCTCTTTCAAAGTCCTGTTTATGTCCCCACCCTTAGATTACCTTCTTTAAGAACCCATTTACTGTTAGGTCATAGATAATTTCTACACTTCATAGCTAATCTATTCCCATTTTTCTAAAGCTATTCTTTGCATTCCATATCTTCGTTTTAAAAAAACCTATTCCCAAGGGCAATGGGACACTCTTGCCAAAGTGTAAAGCAGCCAGACTTTTGGGTAGGAAGATACTGGGGGGTCTAAGTGAAGTTAGGCTTGCAATGTACCAGGCATAGCGCTCACTGCATTACATAGGTTATTCCTTTTAATCTTCACGCAAGGAGGGTATCATGAGGACCCCCGTTTTACATATTAGGAAACAGAGGCTTTGCAAGATTGCCACTCATCTAGGGTCATTCAGCTACTGTGTGGGGAGTGGCCTCCACTTTTGCTTGTAAACTGAGGCGATAAAGAAAAGAAAGGCAGGCCAAGGAAAATAGAAATCGGCGGGGGTGGGTAGGCAGCGAAAGAAACGTCAACCGACAGACGGCTCCTTCCCGCTCCCCTTCCCGCCGACAGCTAAGGCTCCGGCGTAGCTCGCACGCCTCCCAGTGGCCGCCTCTTGCCGCCTGCGCTTCCGGCCTCGGGAGGGCGTCATTACTCAGCGCCTTGAGCCGCCATCGGCCACGCGCATGCGTGTAGCGTAAGACGACGGGTTAGGAGGCGGGCTTTCCGGCCTTGACCCCAACCCTTTCCGGCAAGAGCCGGAAGACGGTCCCTGACGGCATTGGCGGCGGCCTGTGCGTGGTAGTGTGCTCTGGGCAGCCGGTCTTCCGGCGTCCTCTGGTAGCCGATGCTGCGGCCCGGGGCCGCCATCCCCTACTCGGATTGGCGGCGCTAAGGCGCCGGGGCAGCGCGCGAAATGTCGTCTGGGCTCCGCGCCGCCGACTTCCCCCGCTGGAAGCGCCACATTTCGGAGGAGCTGAGGCGGCGGGACCGGCTACAGAGGCAGGCATTCGAAGAGATCATCCTGCAGTGTGAGCGGCGGGCGGCCGGGGGAGCGGGCGGGCGGGCGGACCTCGCAGCAGCACGCGGGGTGCCGGCGGAAACTGTAGGCGGACCCCTGGCGTAGCCTGCGCGCCTCGCGGCGGCCTCACAAACCCTAGGAGGCGGACGCCCCATGCCGTTTTTTTAGATCTTACTCTCTGACCTTAGAGAGCTTTCTCTACTAAACTGTGTGTTCTTCGTGGGCAGGCACTGTTCGTGCTTGTGTTTGTAACCCAAGCTTCCACGCCTGTGTACTTGAATAGGGTCCAGAAACGTCCCGTTTGGGGCCTCGTGTGGTTGAAACGGGTCACTGTATTTAAGCATTAACTCATGTAATTAAGATTGTTCTCTGTGAAATATTCAGCCTTTGATTCCTCGGACCTCTCGTTTTTTAGTCCACCTTGGTGCTCTTTAACTGGTACACATTTTGAATCCTGCTGGTTGGTTGGGACATCGTTATTGGAAACTTAAATATGAAGGTTTTCTCCTCTCCCCACCCCTGTCTGCAGTTTGAGTACAAAAATGTTCGTACCCTTAGATGAGTCTCCCTGAGCATTTCCTTGCTCCCTCCCCAATTTTACGGAACCGATAAATGACACATTTAGGGGGAGAAATGAGCACTCCTCAGTCTTATGGTTCCATCTACCCTTTGAAGTAAGCCTGACAAAAGTTTGGAGTCCATGTCGATGGTGAGAGTCAAAGTAATAGTCGCCTATTAATGAATTCTGATTGTGCTAAATCAGTGGTTCCCAAACTGATCTGCACATTAGTATCACCTGGATCTTTTAAAAATTAAAAAGCCCAGATTAGTTAAATTGCAGTATGTGAGGGTGGGACACCGATGGGAGTGTTTTTTGATGCTCCCCAAGTATTTCTAATGTGCAGAGTGGTTTGAGTGCTTCGGTAGATAAGCGGCATGTGTTATTTCTCTTTATCTTCTTGAAAATTCTGTGAAGCAGGTCCTTTTGTCTTTTTTGTACATGAGGAAACCATGCAGAGAGAGATTAATAAACTTTCTTGGAGAAGCATAGCAGATTCTTGTGGAGTCTGGATTTGAACACAGACTTGGTGTTTTTTTTTCTCACTGGGGTTCTGAAGAAATGACCCATCCTTGCTTCCACTGAACGCACCCTCTTAGCAAAGGTGGGAAGCAGAGTGAGATAATGTGCTGCTGTTGTGCTAATTCCTTGTACTCTAAGAGATCCTTACAGCCAGAAACACAGAAATCCCCTCCCACTCAAAAGTGATTCCCAGTGGGTTATGTAAATTCAGGTGGTCAGGTGTTTGTTGAATGCTTTGTCTTAAAAGCTAAAATAAACTTACAGTCCCATTGGGCTGGAAGTTTGACTCCACACCTTACTGATCTTTTCACTTACCTTTCTGAGTCTGATTTGCTGCATCTGTAAAAGGGGCGAATCTCGCCCTGCCCGCTTCATAAAAACTGTGTATAAGTGCTTTGAAAGCCATCTACGAAATAGTCTATTAACAGAAGTTGCTATAATTGCATTGATAGAGATTGGATGGTTTTTCAGCATTGAAAATAGTCATTTTGATGGGAGCGGGGAGAATGTAGGAGAAAAATCAGAAGACCATGCTGGAGAGGGAACATGTCATTAAATAGCTATGGTGAATAGTGCTTGCCTGAGGGGCTAGGAGTCCAGACTGATACGAGAGGCAGTTAGGGGGCTGGAGAGAAAGACAACCTTTGCCTGTTAGAGCTTTTGTCTTTAGGTCAGCGATTGATATCTGGGGGGCCATTTTCATTTTGCCTGTGGAACACCTTCAATCCTCTCTTCTTCCCTTCCCAGGCCAGTCAGGTTCAGCTTCTGCCTCTGAACCTAAAGAGAAAGATGAAAAGAGACTGTAAGGACAGATGGCAGCTTCCCTTCAGCTGGATCCTTCTCTTTAGTGAGAGGAACTTTCAGGGAGGGTCCCTCCTGAATACCTCCTGTCCTTTGAAAGACCTAATATCTCAGGGCACCCACCTCTGGTGTGACATTTTGAAGATCTTATTAGAACCCTTTGATGTGCGTGAACACCCAGGGTTGGAACTATACTTCCCTGTTCTGCTGAACTGGTTGATTAAATTAACCTAAACCAAGACTATTTCTGTTTCTGCCCAGGAGTTCCATTTCCATATATAAAAGAGAGGTAGAACTCAAGACTCTCTTTAAGAAGAAAAAGATAAGGCCTTCCAGCAGTAATATTCGCTAGCATAAATCCTATCAAAATTTTGTTCTAGAGCAGTTCTAATCTCAGACTTTGAGGATTTCCGATAGTCCCTATCAAATGTAGCTGTTTAGCGAGTTTCCCGTAATCAGTCTCTTGTTTTGCTTAGTGCCCCCTCCCACTTTGCCAGTCCCTGTGTGACTGTCATTCGTAACTACTTGTCCTTTGAATTCCTGCATCATGTTTCCTGTCACATTTGTTACTTGTAGAAGGAAAACTCCTTTTCTTCCTTAGGTTCTCCACTCTTGTATTCTTTGACACATTAGTATCTTCCAAAGTCACCTGAGCAAAGAACTTCAGAATAATCTTTGACTTCTTACTAGTAAATGTCTATGCCACCGCCTGCTGTTAAAATCTGTTATTTTACCATGGCCAGTAAGAAAAGGTGTGAATTTTTCATTCTGCTCTTTCATATGTTGGTTCCAGCTTTCATTTCTGTCTGCTTGCCGGATCACTGCTGGCCCTCCTGCCTGGACTCTGTCAAACCATCCAAGCATATGAGTAAAGATAACTCTTCTAGTCCGTATACTTGACCCTCTGCTATACTTGAGTTCCTCAAGGCCAAGGACTCTCATTCATATTGTATTTCTAGTGCCTTGATCTAAAAATTACGTTTTCCAAATGTAATAATAAGGTACATAATGTTTCATTTTTCCACTGGGTTTGTTTTGTTTTGTTTGTAACTCCTGAGATAAACATAGGTAAGTGGGGGACATTCTTGTAAGGATGCTTCCACAGGTTCCTTTCGCTGGGCTGCTCCTGCTTAGGCCAGGAAGTATTGAAGGAGTGTATGTTCCTGGGTTTTGGACAGTTGCTACAATTGCTGTCCAGGTGCAGCACCTGGTACTTTGACACCTCATGAAAGTGAAACGTACCCAGTTGTCCCCTATGGGTTTTTTTTGGTCCAAATATTTACAGGATATGAAGTAGTGATAAGGTATGCATCAGTTATAATAATGTGTTTCTTCTTTTCCTTTTTAATAGATAACAAGTTGCTAGAAAAGTCAGATCTTCATTCAGTGCTGGCCCATAAGCTACAAGCTGAAAAGCATGACATCCCCAACAGGCATGAGATAAGGTATTTTGAAACTATCCTTTGTTGCTTGTGTCTCTTCAGTTAAAACGGATCTCGGTTTAGCTGTCACTTTTCTAATTGAGAGGTACTGTTTCTGTGCTCCAGTTTTTGTCAGTTCCTTCCAGATAAGAACTTTTGAAGCCAAGTAACTAAAATCCTTTCTTTGAGGGTATGTACCCACCAAGAAGGCTTTTCAGTAGGTGTTGTTAAGCCTTAGAAGTCACTCAAGGCGGCTAACTGGGCCAATTCCTCCATCAGCCTACGGGGTTCACTTTTTCTGAGTAATCACCCAAGTAGGCATTCTTGAGCAGATTTACACAGATCTTATTAATACAGGATTGACTGGTGCATAAACATGAAGTGCTTTTTATACAGTACAGGTCTGTTTGATGCTTTTTAAGTTCTGTGGTTTTCAGCGTATTTTAGTAGAGTGAAATTAAGCTAGCAGGTCGCAGCAAACTTTATTTATTTATTTTACTTAAAGATTTTTTAAAAATTTATTTGTCAGAGACCTAGCGAGAGAGGGAACACAAGCAGGGGGAGTGGGAGAGGGAGAAGCAGGCTTCCCTCTGAGCAGGGAGCCCAACACAGGGTTCCATCCCAGGACCCTGGGATCATGACCTGAGCCAAAGGCAGATGCTTAATGACTGAGCCACCCAGGTGCCTAAGCTTTTTTTTAAAGAAAGATTAGGAAAACCTTGCATTTTAATAGAAAGGATAAGTATTGTTTCATTAAATATGCACATATGTGTTCATGATGAGAAGTTTGATGTGTTTACATGGGTCATTCGTGTAAAGTATTTTTTTTTTTTAAGTTTTTGTTTTCTCGTATTTATTCATTTGAGAGAGAGTGAGTGAGTGTGTCCTCACGGCCAGGGGGAGGGTTAGAGGGAGAGGGAGAAGCAGACTTGTCACTGAGCAGGGCGCCCGATGCGGGGCTCAATCCCAAGATCCCGGGATCATAACCTGAGCCGAAGGCAGACACCTAACTGACTGAGCCACCCAGGTGCCCCATAAGCTATATTTCTTTTTGAGGGCCATGGTCCAAAAAAATCTGAAAGCCAGATTTCATCAGAAACAGTTTAAATAGAATCATTCTATCATCTTACTGTTTTTTTCCAGATGTTTATCATGTTTCCAGATGTTTATCATGTTTGCATATTAAATTTGAGGGTCAGTATGGGAATAGCCCTCATCACTACTCTAGAATCTGTGTACTTTTTTTACATGTCAGATAACATTTAGCAACTGTAAAAATGAGTTGGTATTAATTTAAGGGTTTTTTAAACCCAGAAGTGTAAGGTGCAGCCGAATTTATTTATCCCTGTAGTTAAATCTGCTGTGGAACTGCCTGCCATCCGTGTTTCCTCATCTGGTCCCCTGGCAGACCACAGTGGGAAGGAGGAACAGAGGGTCCAGCCCAGGTTCTGTCCTTGCTTAACAATAAATTCAAGAGCTGCTTCCTGACTGTGGCCCTGGGAGGTCTACTGTAGTATTTAAAATATTAGTTGTAGCCTTCTGGTCAATATTAGGTATAGAAAATGCCATTTTACCTTTTTCATCTAAATCAGCTGAAAACTTGAAATATTTTGTTTCTATCTAATTAGACTCTTGGTGACCGTGTTTCTCTCTCCTGTATTGGTCAATCAAGTTCATTTGCTTGGAAAGGTGCTATAAGTAGAAAAATAATAATTCTTTTGATTGAATATCACTGAATGGTAATTTAATTGGAGGTCCTTCCTTTCCTAAAAACTTGAGCCCCTAATGAGGCCTCTCCTGACAGCCTTGTTTCTATTAATGGTGCCCTTATTTCCCACAAGTCGTCAATGATTCCTTTTTCCCTCAGTGTCCTGCCCCTCCTCATTGGTAGTCACTCACTCAGGCATGTTCATCCTTCACTCACACACTCTTGTGCGTCTATCCATTAGTCCCTTGGGGTAGAGCAGCTCAAGTGGGTGTTTGATGGTGCCAGAAGGGTATTTACAGAAGATGGGCCTGGTGGCCTCTTTTGCCCTTCTGTCTCCTTAAGTTCTGTCCATCTCGTCCTAGTTATTCTTTTTTTTTTTTTAATATTTTATTTATTTATTTGACAGACAGAGATCACAAGTAGGCAGAGAGGCAGGCAGAGAGAGAGGAGGAAGCAGTCTCCCTGCTGAGCAGAGAGCCCGATGCGGGGCTCGATCCCAGAACCCTGGGATCATGACCTGAGCCGAAGGCAGAGGCTTTAACCCACTGAGCCACCCAGGCGCCCCTCGTCCTAGTTATTCTTAAAATACTACCACCTGTGCTTAAAAAGCTTTATCTGGATCTCTTCTCTGCATCCCTCCTGAAGTGTTTTAATCCCTTTGCTTTCTGCATAGATTACAGCATAGAAGTAGTTGATTCCATTCATTTCCTGCGTGTTTCCTAGATGGCAGCATCTAACAAATTGTTAGAAATGCAGAATCTTGGGCCCCACACCAGACCTACCGTTTCAGTAAGTTAGTAAGGCCCGTAATCTGTAATCAGATGATCTGAGAACCACCACTTTAGACCATGGCTGCCCGGTGTCCTTGTCATCCATCCGCAGCACCACGCAAGCAGGGAGTGACCTGATGCGCTCTTGAAAGAAGGGACTGCTTGTACATTTGCATATTTCACAGTGCTTTGCATTAACATAAGAGGATTTGATAAAAATAATTTCTAGTTCTTATGCCTAATTTAGGGTGACTTCCTGTACAGTGTGTTCCACTTTCTAATCTCTTGGCTTCTACTTCATGGGTGAAGATTGGGGAAGTATTAGAGTGCCTCAAAGGATGAGGTATTAGGATGGGCTTGGAACATGTCATAGAAGTACCTTTAGAGGGAAGGAGTGTCACACTGCTCCCTTTCCCCTCTTGTTTATGACAGGGCATACAGAAGAGGCCGTTCTCCCCTCCCTTCAGGTGCTGGTGTCCTACTTTTCCAGTGTCTTCCTCGTCCCCATCTTGTGCTTTCCCCCAGTGGTGGTTTAAGTGTCTGTCTTCTGATGGTTCTCCTCTGCAGCTGCAGCCCCAGTCCTGAGCTAAAATGCACAGGTCAGTCACCCGTTGTTTCTGACCTGGGGTGCGAGCCCCTGCCAAGCCTCCAAAACTATGTGAACTCTTGAGGGCATTGAGCTCAGCTCTGGGGCTTCAGATACGTCTGTTTGCTGACAACTTCCACTTGTTCGCCTCTCGCTTGGATTTCTGTACTTGACATGCAGACTCTTACGGCCGATTTCCACTCCACACACTCCCTTGGGTGTCCACACCACACTCTTCAGGTCTTTCCCAAACCCCAGTCCCTCCTGTCTCAGTAGGTGGTGCCTGCACCTTTCACACTTGCTCAGGCCCAAAGCCCTGGAGTCCTCCTCCACTCCTTCCTTTCCCTTGGACTCTCCAGCCAACTCAAAAGGCAAGTCCTGTGAGCTCTCTCTTCAGAATAGATCTAGGATCTGACCACATCTCACTGCCTCTACTGCTACCACCTTGATCTGAGCTGGACTTTGTAACAGCCCATGAACTGGTCTCCCTGTTTCTACCCCTTCCTCTCCACCACTGCCATGGTCTGCTCTCCACCCAGCAACCATAACAATCCTGTTAAAACTTAAGTGATTCCTCTGCTCACGACACTGCAGTGGCTTCCAGTCATTGTCCCAGGAGGAGCCTGGGAGGTTCTGCGTGGTCTCCCCACCTCCTCCCTGACCGTCTTCTCTACCCTCCTGCATGTGGAGCTCCACTCATACTTTCTCCGAGGACACCAGCTAGGCTGCCTTCTCCAGGCCTTTCTAACAGTTGACGTTCCCTCTTCACTTGAGGGTCCAGCTTCCAGGGGCCATGTGGCTGGCTTCTTACTTCCTTCCGGTCCTCAGTGATGTTCTCCTCTCAGAGAAGCCTCCTCTCAGGGTACCCCCTACAGAACAGGAACCCTGTTGCTCTGTCCCCAACTTTACCCTGCTTAGTTTCTCTTCAAAGCATGTCTGACCACTGGACTTCACGTATTTACTTACTCACTGTGTCTGCTCTTAACTGTTTATCTGTCACCTGAGAGCAAAGCTTTGTGTTCACTGCCTTCTCCCCAGGTCCAAGGTCAGTGCCTGGCATGTAGTTGGCACTCAAACATTTGTCGAGTGACTGGACCTTGTTGTCTCCTCCATGTTTACCTAATCCTCATCTGGAATCCATGCTTTGTTCCTGACACGACCTGTGATTCAAGTTGTGGTTGGTTTATTTTACCATGTCTCGTGTTTCCTACTTTCTACTTCAGGTTTGTAGTGGCTTAGAACCCCATTGTCCCGGAGAAAATGAATGGCTTTATTGGCTGTGTTGTCACGTACAGGTTCAAAATTCTGAGGTTACTGTTTCACTGCCCAACTGAGGAGGTTTGGGGTCTGATGTTTTGTTTTTTTTCTCTTTCCTCTCTTTTTTGCACATTCCTTCATCTGTCTGGTTTGGGGACTTAGTCCTGGACACGATGGTGCCTGGAATGATAGTCAGCTACAAGAGATGGCCCAGCTGAGGATTAAACACCAAGAAGAACTGACTGAGCTACACAAGAAACGTGGGGAGGTACTGATAGCTGCTCCTCATCTCTGCTCTGCGCAGGCCCTGCGGTGGGGGAGAACAGGTAGAAGGGCGCTTGCACTAGAATTTGCAGCTGTCCTGTCTACATGTGGCATCATCCTCTCTCTGGGAATGCAGCATCGGGAAAGCCAAGGGCTTTTCCTCCATCAGCAAGAGGGCAGGCCACTAGGGTAGCTGCCGGTCGCTCCACTCCCAGGTGGCATGAAAGGTACAAGTGGAGAAACTTCGAGGGAAAGAAGCAGGCTCTTCTGCCTGTTCGAGGGCGGGTCTCACTAATACTTTCCTAGGGTATTTGAGAGTGAACCCTGCAATTTCTGAAAAATTCATTAGAAAGGACATAAAAAATGTCCTGGGCTGTATTAATCCTGGGTGGCGATTTGATGGCAAATTATGAGAAAATGTGTTTTCTCATCACTGCAGCTGAATTGATCATTTTATCAGCTGAAGTGTGTGAAAGGTGGCTGAAGTGGGGGGACAGATTAGTCCTCAGCAGAAACCTGGCAGTGACCCATAGCACTTCCCATCATTCCCATGAGCATCCCCATCTGCCCTCCCGCTCCTCGCTGCCACCCAGCTTGTTTCTTCCTGGGGCCTTGGCCCAACTCTACAGGGCACGTTTTCTTTCTTAAAAATAAAATAAAAGCCCCCCCCCCATTTTAAAAAGCACCCACTGTTTAGGTTCCAGCTGAGGTCCTGAACTCTCTCACTGATGCAAGTGTTTTCCTTTCCCCAGTTAGCTCAATTGGTGATTGACCTGAATAACCAAATGCAGCAGAAGGACAGGGAGATGCAGATGAATGAAGCAAAGTGAGTAGAGATGATGCCTTCTTCAGGGCTGGCCACGGGGTTGCACTCTGTTTATTGTACTCTCGTGGGCGGAGCCAGTGGTGATTGCTGGCAAATGGTCACCACATGGGACTCAGCAGGAGTGTCACTTCTTTGCATGCACAGCCTGGGATTTTTATCTACCTGCTAAGGATGACAGAGGCAAGGACAGTGCCCTCAGTCTTGCGGGTTCCCAGCATGCCCCTGGCAAGTACCCTTGGCCCTTGTGAGTGTCCCCGAAGCATTCATGGCTCTCCCTATGGCCACTGCATAGGAGAGCTAGCGTCTTCTGTGGTGGAGATGGTGCCAGAGTGAGCCTGTGGCCTTTGGGAACAGGGATGAGTTTGTTGGCAGGATAATTCTTGATCAGGGAGAAGCCTGGAATTCCAAATTGTAGGACCTTTGAGCTGGAGGGAAGCCTGGGTTTCCTCTGTGCCTTTTTTCCTTGCTCTGCAGACAGGAGTCTCTAAAGGCTTAGAAAGGCATCTTTGCTTATCGAGTGATAGAACCAACAGAAAGTGCAGAATTTCTAGCCCTCTTTTGAGCCCCTGTTAGTACTCTATATAGGCATCAAAAGTTCCCTTTTCAAATCCTGCTTTTCTAGTCCTTCATCGCCTGGGTGAATTTTACCCTAGGTAAAATTCCTCTCCTAATCGGCTTGTCCTGTAAACCACTGGGGCTGGGCTTGGCTAAGTGAGATGTTCATAAACATGAGTCCCCCGTGGCACCTGGTGTGATGGCTGACGTTATTGTAGGGGGCCCATGCTCATGGAGCTCCAGCACCTGGCAAGGTGCCCTGGCTCCTCACAGGGCTCCCGAGCGGGCCCATTCCTCTTCTCCACGTCCTGCTTTCAGAATTGCAGAATGCTTACAGACTATCTCTGACCTGGAGACGGAGTGCCAAGAACTACGCAGTAAGCTTCAGGACCTTGAAAGAGCCAACCAGACCCTGAAGGATGAGTATGATGCCCTGCAGATCACGTTTACTGCCTTGGAGGAGAAACTGAGGAAAACTACTGAAGAGAACCAGGAGCTGGTCACCAGGTGGATGGCTGAGAAAGCCCAGGAAGCCAATCGCCTAAATGCAGAGAATGAAAAAGATTCAAGGTGAGACACCATTCCACAGGTAGTGATTCCCATTTTTAGTAAAGTAGAGCCTTGTGGGATGGCACAAGCTGGCCAGAAAACACTAATAAAATCAGAAATCTCAGTGGTGCACGTAAAAGAGATTTGCATTTATTAGAACACTTACAGCTAAGCGGAGGATTACCTTCCAAAAGGGCTTTGGCCTGTACAATTTTTGCCAGTGAATTCTTTCAGTGTGTCAAGGAGAAAAGCTAATTCTTGAACAACGGAAGGTAAACCAGAATTTAAAAAAGATTGGAATTTTTCCCATCCCTGATTTTATAACACCAACCACATCCATACCAAAGCTCTGGATAGTATAACAAAAAGGCTACGGTCTAACCTCACATGAACATAGATGTGAAATTCCTAAGTCAGAGTCACTGGTACCTCCCCCGCACCCCCAAAGAGAGTGTGTGTGCCCACACAAGGGGTGGGGTGGAGGGGAGCTGAGGGGGAAAGAGAAAATCTCTGGCTCCATGCCTAGTGCATACGGGGCTCCATCCCAAAACCCTGAGATCATGACCTGAGCCAAAATCAAGAGATGGTTCCTTAACTGACTGGGCCACCCAGGTGCCCCAGTACTTTTTTTTTTTTTTTTAGTTTACTGCAGTCCTAGTAGGACTTACCCCAGGAATTAAAAGACGGTGTATCTGGAAATAAATTAAATCTATCACCTTGGATGATAAACTGTAGGGCCACTACAGTAGACCCCAAAAATGCCATTTGCTCAGACTCAGTTCCCAGTCCTGATAAAAACCCTTCAACTTGGAACAAAAGCTTTTAATAAACACACATAGCAGCAGCCAACAGCCGATAGCGTTCTTTTTTTTTTTTTTTTTAAGATTTTATTTATTTATTTGACAGAGATCACAAGTAGGCAGAGAGGCAGGCAGAGAGAGAGGAAGGGAAGCAGGCTCCCTGCTGAGCAGAGAGCCCGATGCGGGACTTGATCCCAGGACCCCGCGATCATGACCTGAGCCGAAGGCAGCGACTTAACCCACTGAGCCACCCAGGTGCCCTCCGATAGCGTTCTTAACAGGGAGACCATCCATCCTAGACACCAGATTCGGTCTTAATGGAGGGAAGTGTGTGTGTTGAAAATTTCCACGGAGAGTCTAACACATATCAAAACCAGGAACAGAAGGAAGGGCTCACTCTCTTCAAGTCTGACTGATGTTTTGGCCATCTGACCAGATAGAATGTAGAATGCAAGGCCACTAGAAGGGACGGGGGCTCATGCTTACCCACTTAGAAAGCCTAAGAAAATCCACTGAGAAAACGGACAGTAAGTGGTCAACAGATTAGAACATACGATTTTTCTTTTTCTTTCTTTCTTTTTTTTTTTTTAAAGATTTTATGTATTTATTTGGCAGAAATCACAAGGAGGCAGAGAGGCAGGCAGGGAGAGAGAAGGAAGCAGGCTCCCTGCTGAGCAGAGAGCCCGTTGCAGGAATCAGTCCCAGGACCCTGAGATCATGACCTGAGCCGAAGGCAGAGGCTTAACCCACTGAGCCACCCAGGTACCCCATAACATACAATTTTAAGGCCCTGTGTCTGTAGTTTAGAATTTGAAAAGATGCTTGCAGTTAATCTGAAAGAATGAAAATAGGAAGGAGTCATCATAATGATTACTAATTCTACCAAATAACATATTCAAGTAGATTTCAGAATCTGTATAAAAACTGATAACGTAAGGTAGAGATGAAAAATGTGATACCTGCTTCTTATTTTATGAAAAATTTCTAAATAGTATGAGGACTTCCCAAACATTAAAAAAATAGAAGTAAAAAGTGGACTGTATAAAATTTTCCGATTTCTTGACACAAAAGCAATCAAAGAGATGCAATCAATCATTAGGTAAATATCCTGCCGCAGAGTGGATGAGACAGGCGAGCCCCCCGGCAGGTGTGAGGCGCAGGGAGTTGATGGAAGCAGGAGTGCGCACGGTCAGGAAAGCTGGCCTGGAGGGCTGTCGGGCGGAAGGGGGAAGCACCTTCACATTGTCTGTGGAAAGCCCATTCCGCCACCTCCCAAGGCCACCTAGGCATGACCTGAGAAGTGTTCCCACTCGTTGGACTTTATTTTAAGCAAGTCCCAAGACTTGGTCACGGGTATTATTTTGTGATGGCACATTACTCATAGTAATAAAAAATAAGCAGTATCTCCCTTGGGGGAGAAATAAACTGATATTTTCATACAGTGCAGTTTTACGAAGTCATCTAAAAATACACGTCTTAGGAGTACTTAGTGACCCAAGAAAATACATGTAATTAATGTAACTGAAAATAGGGTAGGAAATGTTTTCATAGGACATGATCCAAAATTTGAATGAATTTAAAAGTTTAAAAAGGAACTATATTGTTAATAGTGTTTATTTTTGCGTGGCAAGACTGTGGCTTTTATTTTCTCGTTTTATACTTCTCTGTATTTTTAACTTTTTTTTTTTTTTTTTTAAGATTTTATTTATTTATTTGACAGGCAGAGAAGCAGGCAGAGAGAGAGGAGGAAGCAGGCTCCCCGCCGAGCAGAGAGCCCGATGCGGGGCTCGATCCCACAATCCTGGGATCATGACCTGAGCCAAAGGCAGAGGCTTTAACCCACTGAGCCACCCAGGCACCCCATTTTTAACTTTTCTTAAGTTTCTGTCATATTACAACATGAGCTGTGCTTTTTTATTCTGTCTCATATTTACATTTTTTGTTAAAGATTTTATTTTTAAGCAGTCTCTACCCCCAACATGGGGCTCAAACTCATAACCCCCAACATCAAGAGTCACATGCTCTGCCATCTGAGCCAGCCAGGCGACCCTCGTGTTTCAGTAAAATAGTTTGGCCTCTGCTGTGGAGTCCTTAGCTTAAAGGCAGTGAACTCACCAGGGTCACCTGGAAGTCAGTGTAGCACCTTGAACACCTGCCAAAGGAGAAGCAGGCAGGCGTTTCGTTAAGCTAAGGAAGGATCCTTGGTCATCACAGTGGACGGGAATGACACAGACTTCCTCTGAACAGGGGTACGAGGCATATTACATGTCTGCCCTTGCTCCTTTGGAGTGTTTCCGTGAGGGCCGAAGTGCTGTGCTTTGTTGAAGCCAGCATTAACTAGTGGGCTTTCTTCACTAGGAGGCGGCAAGCCCGGCTACAGAAAGAGCTTGCAGAAGCAGCAAAGGAACCTCTACCCGTTGAACAGTAAGTAGAGCTATTCCAATCAGAACTGCTCTTAGTAATTGGATTTGCTCTTTTAAAATGTTACCATGTTCTTATTTCTGTAAAATCGTTTATTATAGATTGTAGAAAGGAAACTCAAAGTTCTGAGGGAGCCACTAAACACTGGTTCCCGTCCCAAGGCTGCTGCAGCTCATGCTCCTTGTGGGCTGTGGGGCTGTGAACAGATGACTTCTGCACCCTGGATGGGTGCCCACCTTGCTGCTTCCTTCTTGACACTTTGATCCATTTTCTACCCGTCATTGGGCCTCCTGGAGTGTATCACTGGGCTGGGTTCTTTCTCTTGCTCTCTGTTCTTGGGATGTGACTTTGAGTGGAGGTGCGGGCAAACCTTTGAAGCCTAAGTGAAAATGACAGTCTCTTGGAGCAAAAGGAATTGAATCCGTTTGGAACTTTCCCTGATCTGGAGTTGGGGTGGAGAGTCCTCCGCAAGATCTGAAGCTTTGTGTTAAGAGTGGTAGATATTTAAATTTAATTTAATTCAGTTAATGACTGAATTCCGCTTGCTTCTGGTTTATGATATGTTCCTTTTCTACTGAAAAATATCCCAGAATATAGTATTAGAATTGTGATTTACTGCATTTTAAAATGTTGTTTGTTTCCTTATAAATGGAAGGGACTGGTTTGAATTCAGTTAGAGGAGACAGCCACGAGACAGGGTGTTAATTTATAAGAAAAAAAGATTTCCATACCAAGGCTGTGCTTATAGACATTTCTTCTGTATTCTCAGATGTGGAAAATGAATCTCAGTTATATTTTACAGACACTACAAAGTAAATAAATGACTGACCTAGAAATGACAGCTTATAAAAGCGACATTTGTCTGCCTCCCTACTGCAGCATAAACAGGTGACTGGGTGTGATCAAGCATGCTGCCCAAGATCTCCTCGGAAGGGACAGAGCAAACCTAACCTAGGAGTGCCAGACCTTAAAAGCCTGTTCTTAATCTGTGTGTTTCCCAAAGAGCAGAGTTTCTGGGGCAAAGGGCATTCTCACCTTTGAAAGGTTGTGATAACCAGTTGCCACATCCTGGTATTTTCTTGTGGCCCTGGACGTTTGCAGGGTTCCAAGTGTCTTCATGTTAGTCGCATTCTGAAAACATTTACATAGGCTCTGCTCGTGGTCGCTACCCTTGCTGTCTCTGTTGCTCTGCTGTCACGCTTGTATGGACACAAGGGACTCCTCCAAACCAGAACCACTAAGAAAAAAAGGCTAGCCTTGTTCTCTTTCTTCAGGCATACCTTTGTTCTCCCCTACATCCGGGCCTAGACTGGGGTCAGTTGTGTGGAATCCTAAAATCGATAGCCAAGGAAAACAAATTTTCTTTGACTTAGTTTAACTTGCTTGGTAACAAGTATATGTTTACATAATCCAGATAATTAATCATGGAAAAATTTAGCTCTCAAGCTAAGGAGTCTGAACATTAGGTGATAAAGGCTTGGGTTGTTAGGTTTTATTATTTTACTTCTGATTGCAACTCGGTAGGAGGTCATTAAAACCAAAATAATTGCTTGCCTTCCCCCAACCAGGAACGGGGTGGGGGGGGTAGATTCCAGAGGTGCTTTGTATCCAGTGGGATAAGGCGGGTAAACAACAGGGCATTTCTGTGGCTTGATTATTTCACATGAAGCATGATAGACTTCCTACATGTCAGAAGCACTAAGTGTTAAAACCTAAGCATAAAATACCCAGAGTCAAAAATGAATTGTGTTGAGATTTTGCTTTCCTGTTTCTATTATTAAGGCAGTATTTAAAGCCAATGTTAACGCAGCCATTGACTTCTTTGCCCTTCCAGCAAAAGCTTTCCTTACTCCCCTGGATCTCCTCCTTGCCCTGTCATTTCTTGTGCTCCAGAGCTGCCCTGGCTGTCGTCTGTGCCATGCTCAGCCCATCTTATGGGAACTGTTTCTTGGTGAGCACTGTGGTCCAGTTGTTCACGTGTGGGAGCCCTTACCTGTGAACCCGGCCTGAAGGAAGGAATCTCCCTTGGCACTGGATGCATGGTTCTAGGCTTGTTAGATCGTTTCCTTGCTTTCCAAGTGGGAGCGATGTTCACACCTCAGAGGATCGAAAGATCACTTTTTAAGTTCTTTTCAGCTGGAATTCTAGATTTGATGTCAGTAGGTTCAACGTTTTTTTAGTGTCATTCAGAGTGTGGCCATTCCTGTTTCTCCGAAGAACCCTTGGCTGTTTCTGTCATGGCCAACTCACGGAGGCCGCGTGTAACTAAGAGATGGTGCTGGTGCTTGTGGAACAGACTCGCCACAAAGCTCCCAAGGAGCAGGATCAAAGACTTGGCCTCTTGCCCTTCTTTCCAGGGATGATGACATTGAAGTCATCATGGACGAAACCTCTGATCACACTGAGGAGACATCTCCCGTGCGTGCCCTCAGCAGAGCAGCCACGTAAGTAGCTGGGGCGGGCCCGGAGAGGGGCACTCACGCCGTAGGCGGATGGCACGTTGTGGCAGCGGCAAGAGCCCCTTGCTGTAGTGCCCAGCCCCTCCTGCACAGCTTTGGAGATCGTGGGCTCCTGAGTGTCTCCATCTTCCTCAGGTCACCTCCACATGGGACTCAAGCTGTCTGGTGCTGCCACCACCCCGTGACGGGAGGTGGGAGGAAGTGTCATGGCTTCCCACAAGATGGACAGTTACACCTTGTTGGGATGATTATTTAGATCATACTGTTTACTTCGTACTTGGGTTCCAGGATTTTTTTCTCTTTGCTAATAACTAAAGCAGGACTCAGTGGATGGGAATTGGTTATTAATAGCTAGACACTGTTAGGTCAGATTGAGTCATTGTCTGAAGCACAGTTTCTAAGACAAGTTAATTTAATGCGGGGAACTTGAGTCTTTTTTAAAACTTTGAAGCTGGGTCCTCCCTCCTGCCTTCCCCTTGTTTTCTGATGGTTTGCTCCTCTGAGGGGGTTTCTTGGCTGGGGTTTGGGAACTCGATGGGAAACATACTCCCAGGTACCTATTTTTGTGGACTGTTTTTATTGATGAATTATGGGCAAAATGTTTCTAAGGTTTAAACCTATCCTCCCCTCCTCTTTAGTAAGCGACTCTCGCAGCCTGCTGGTGGCCTTCTGGATTCTATCACTAATATCTTTGGGTAGGTTAGAAAACCTTCACCTTTCCTTGTTAATATGTGTGTGAATATTCATAAGTGTTGTATATGATTTATCACCAATTTTTAAACATACACCAAATTTCCGTGGCGCCAAGTATTCAGATGCTTTGACTTCAGCTTTTCACTTAGCTTCTTCTTTTTTCCTCTGTTTTCTTTCCTTAATCTTGCTGCGTACTGATCTGGCCTTACCTTTAGTCTGTCCGAGTCTCCCCTTTTGGGACATCACTCTTCTGATGCTGCCAGGTGAAAATATTCCCTTCTCTCAGCCCGGCATGTGAGCATGGCTCCTTGATATTTGTGCTGATCACCGCTTCACCCCCCCTTGTCGGGTGTGCATGTGCCTCCCAGGCCGCTGTGCATGCTCCTAGGAGTGCTGTCAGCTTCTTGAGCAGGCAGTTCGGTTGAGCTCTGCACAGCAGGCACGCTCTCATCCGTCTCCTCGGGCACGCATTTGATTCCGCTATGACCACACTGGATGCTGAGGATGGTTGTGACTAGGCACAGAAATCACCTTCAAGTAGTCTTATCAAAAGACAAACGAGCTCCCGCAGAGCGGGCAGTTACATCACGTTGAGGACATTTTTGCAGCAGTTTATTGGCTGGGGAAGCAGTTTTGCGGGACTGCTTTTCAGTATTGGGTTTTAGACTCCATGAGTTAGCGAGCAAGCGAGTGCAGGTACGTACTGGATACCTCTCGGCTGTTGTTTGAGTGTGGATGCCTCTGGTCGGGTGAATTGTTCTGTGGTTCAAAGAGTCTAGGAGGGAGAAGAAGCTACTATCAAAAGTCGTCTTTGAATCCCTCCTGGACGTTTGGTGGACAGGAAGCCTTGTGCAATCCTAATATTTTCCTTTATGTTACTTCTTAGGAGGCGTTCTGTCTCTTCCTTTCCAGTTCCCCAGGATAATGTGGATCCTCATCCTGGTTCTAGTAAAGAAGTGAGAGTGCCAACAACAGCGATGTGTGTCTTTGTAAGTACAGTTGAACCCCACGTCCCACCAAGCTTTGTGTGGTAACCGAGCCTGACAGTTAAAGGATCCTTTCTCCACAACAGCTGGCTTTCTACTGTTTTATTTAGAGCAATAGCAAGCTTTTACACCTGTTGGCTGTGTCTGATGGAAGGAATTGATACATTTTGCTTAGCTTAGAGGATAGAATTTATTATAACCATTTTCTGTAATACAGGACTGGCTGAGAGAGAATCCTTAGCATGAGAGATGGGACAAGGGAGAAGGAGCTATGGTTGGTGAGAAGTTACACTAATGCATGTCATTGTTGTCACTGGTTGGCTCCGATCTAGAGTGAGATTCTAGTTAGTAGTCTGTTTTAGAAGGTGGGTAAGGGCAACTGTTTGCTTCGTGAATTATACCCAAATCTGTGTGACTTCCAATCATTAGAAGCACAAGTTTGGAAGCAGGAGACAGTCCTGGGCAGAGGCCACTGTGATGCTGGGGCTGTCAGCTGGAGTTCAGAGCTGGATGCTAGTAGAAAAGAAGAAGCAGGTCCCAGCTTGGGGGAGCTGAGCAGAAATGGAACCAGCCTGGAGAAATGAGGGGTACCTGACTCAGGGCTGGCAGGGGGGGGTCGGGGGGGGGGGGAGAGAGAAGCAGAGCAGAGCCCAGATAGCTGGGCTGACTTGTGGGTTACATGGGCTGAGTTAGAGGAGCCAGCTTTCAGGGGAGAGAAAGACTCACTATAAAATGGGAGGGAATTTATATGGGGAAGGCTTTTTGTTCCGGCATAAGGAGGAATTGATTAGAGATTTCCACAGAGTGAACTGGCTGAGTGATTTAACCACCTTGTATGTCATAAAGAGAGTTTCCCTCCAGATGAGGAGTTGGATTGGGGACCATTAAGGCCCCTTCCCATTCCACTCCTGCGAGTCCCTGACAGGCCCAAGCACCTTATGGAGGTCAGTGATGATTGGTAAAAGGTCTGATTGCACTCAGTGTCACAGCCCCTTCCTTGCCCTCAACTCCCAGCGGCCCATTGTTTTCTCCCATCACATTTAAGTCATGTGTATGGGATAATGGAGCAGCTGATAATTTGGGATTCTGTCAGCATGTGTGTCTGAGAGTATACAGTTCACAGCTGACGGATATCCAACAGAACCGGCTATGCAGGAGATGGAGGAGTGGCAGCCATGGGCGTGATGGTGCATGATCTCAAGTTTTCAATCTGAGACCTCCTGAGTAGAAAGATAGCATTAAAAAAAAAAGAAGAAGAAGAAGGAGGAGGAGGAAAAGGAAGGGAATCACATGGAGCAAAAAGGTTGGTCAGCTCCCTGATAGCTTTTCAGCAGTGGGACACAAGGGCTGGGGTGGGATCAGATCACCAAGCAAAATAAAGTGGTGTTTATGTCTTAGTCAGTTAATAATCATGCCTTTGATAATATTTCAGGCATCTTTTTTAGTCCCAAGGAGATGTGACAGTAATATTTTTGTCTTCCCCAAATGATGTTTTAGGCAAATGATTGATGACCTGTTTAGTAATCTAATATTTGTAATCCACATTTTCCACAGTCTTTTTTTTTTTCCTTTTTATTATGAAAAATTTCAAACATTGGTGTGAGCAGGGAGTAAAAGAACTGGGTCCCATCACCCATCATCCTGCCAGGCACAGCCCCATTTAGCTACATCTGCCAGTTTTCTTCTCTCTGCCCCACACACTTTTGCTGGAGCAATTTAAAGCAAATCTCAGGCATTGTAGTTCATCCATAAAGACTTCAGCATCGATAGTCTTTTTTTTCTTTTCTCTTTTTTAAGATTGATCTGTTTGAGAGAGGGTAATGGGAGGGGTGGAGGGAAAGGGAGAGAGAGACAGAGAGTCCCAAGCAGACTCCCTGCTGAACACAGAGCCCAATGTGGGGCTCAGTCAGATGCCCAACTGACTGAGCCTCCCAGTCATCCCCATAGTCTTAATTTTTAAGAGCGGTTTCAGAGACATTTTCTGGTATTTTTTTTCCCATTCTAGGAGGGGATGCTTTTTACCCCATTTCCCTTCCCATCCTGAACACAAAAAAAGATACCATCTTTTCAGATTATTTTTTTTCTAGTTTGGATGCCAGTCTCAGTAATTTCCCTGTGAAGAGGTGCCTGGATAGCTCAGTCGAATTAGAATCTGACTCGATTTCTGCTCCAGTCGTCGTCTTGGGTTCATGAAATCAAGTTCCGCGTCAGGCTCTGTGCTCAGCGGGCAATCGCTTGGGATTCTCTCCCTTTTCCTCTGTCCCTCCCTCCATGTGCATGCTCTGTCTCTTTTGTCAAAATAATTAAACCTTTAGAGAAAAAGATTTCCCTGTGAAGAACTTACTCTTTTTTTAAGATTTTATTTATATGACAGAGAAAGCACAAGCAGGCAGAGTGACAGACAGAGGGAGAGGGAAGAAAAGGCTCCCTATGGAGCAGCAAGCCCAACATGGGTCTCAGTCCCAGGACCCTGGGATCATGACCTGAGCTGAAGGCAGATGCTTAACTGACAGTCACCCAGGTGTCTCTCCCTGTGAAGAATTTAAAATTCTCCCAGAGTGATACCTGTCTCGTTGAAGGCCTGTTGGTAATTAGGCACACTCCTAGGTCACACAACTTGGCAGAAGTCTTTTTCTATAGATGAGCAAATGAGCTGAGACTTCAGAAAGTTAAGAAACTTGGCAAAATCATCCTGCTAGTACACACTAGTGCTGTATTGTTTCCAGAGCAGAATAGAATCCCACTCTAACAGTGATGCGTCGCAGCAGGCGTGGTATCTGCTCGTATTAGGACTCCATGTGGGGATATACTCACATTAGGAAACCATAAAGACTTATTCTATCATGAAAAGCCATGCTGTACTTTGACTAGATAGTTTGGCATGTAGCATTAACATAATTTGGACAAAAAGAGAGGCAGTTAATCAGAGACTTAATTTTAAGCCATTAAGATCATAGTAGAATATAGACTGAAATTTTATTTTTCTTAAGGAGAAATGAAATTAATGCAAAGACAAACTTTAGGCAGTTAGTCTACATGGGTTTTTGAATGCTTTTTAAAAAGGTTGCACTGTGCTTAAATAAATGGAACTGTAACTATAAGAATAAAATGGGGTAGGAATCCAAGTTAGTTTATGAGCGGACCCCCTTTATTTCTAAGTGAGCATCTGATGCCTTTTGTTAGACGTCCAGAGTGTTCATGTGCACTGGGCTCCTTCCTCTCGGGAATGACAGTGATTGGGGTTGAAGCAGGGTGCTTGTCTTGCAGGATGCTCACGATGGGGAAGTCAACGCTGTGCAGTTCAGTCCGGGCTCCCGGCTGCTGGCCACAGGAGGCATGGATCGGAAAGTTAAGCTTTGGGAAGTGTTTGGAGGTGAGACCCCAGAGTTGCAAAGAAAGAGGCTGCATTGGGGACATCTGGTTGACCTTGCTTTCAGGCAATCTTTAAATCATTCACCTTCTCCAAATATCTAGTATCTTGTTTCAGGAATTATCTGACCAAAGCATTATCACCATCTCAGACACTACACCTGTGTGGATATTTGCACTGAGTTTTTAAGCAGGGGCTAGAAAATGGTTTTAAGTTATGGATTCGTTAGTGTTTGTGTTTTCTCAGATATAATGAGAACATCTTCCAAGGTACTACAGGTTTTAGAAGGAAAATGAAAGGTCTTAAAGTCATAGACTTAGAATTAAACTATACATTGAGCTGAGGTGTGTGCATTTAATAACACCATTGGCTTTGGCCTAGAGGAAAAGATTGAGGTCATATCTAAGCTTGAGAATAAAAAGAGGGATGTATCTTCCAGGAAAAATGTATTTAACAAGCAGCTTATCATCAAGGGCCAGAAGATCAAGACCTCGTCTCTTTGATGAGACTTTGTTTCAGAAGTGGCTTCAGAATACTCAGAAATGGGATGGCATTAAAACAGAAAATGGGACTTAGTGAAATCATCTCTTAGAAATCTGAAGCTAGGGATAGCTCAATTTCAGCATTTTGAGATGTAGTTAAATCTCATGTTGTGGTTTTTTTGTTTTTGTTTTTGTTTTTTAAATAAAGCAGGGTCGAGGAATAAAGCTGAAGATTTTAATAAGAACCGCTTTGTCAACTTTCCATAGTTGTAGCACTTACATTCCCAGTGCCCACCAAGAAGTAGATCCAGAGGGCCCTTGTCTGTGTTAGTTCCCCTGATCCTCACCACAGCCCTGTGCAGCTTGAAAGACAGGTATCACCCGTACTTGACAAGATGAAAACTCAGAGCCCCTACTTGATTTTGCAGAGTTGATTTTCGTGGCTGGTAACTGATTAGCGTGGCGGGGGATGGCAGAATCAGGTCCTTCTGGGTCTGCTGACTGCAAAGCCCCTTTCTTCCCACTGTGGCCTCCCCTGAGCTATAGAGCACCTGAAGGAACATGCAGGTGACTTTTGGTGTGTTCAGAGCAAGAGCAAGAGCAGTCTGTTGATCCGTTTGGTGATAATAGATTATCAATAAAGCACCACATTTGTCTGCCCTGGCCTTTTTTTTTTTTTTTTTTTTTCCTTTTTCTTTTTCTGGAAATTGACTCCATCGTTAAATCCCTGGCAAATACAGCTAGTTGAAGCCCATGAAAATTTGTGCCGTTTTACCCAGAAACACCTTATGAATGGTAATTGTGAAAACCATGATAATGCAATAATAAAGCCATTATTGTAATAATAGAAGTTTTTATGAGATTTGATTTTTTAAAATCTAAGCAGAGCATCTGTTTTGTTTTTGTTCTTAAGATTTATCTATTTATTTATTTGAGAAGGAGAGAGCAAGAGAGCGCACACACACAACAAGAGAAGAGGGTCAGAGAGAAAATGAGAAACAAACTCCCCACTGAGCCCCAATGCGGGCCCCAGTCCCAGGACCCTGCGATCATGACCTGAGCTGAAGGCAGACGCTTAACGACTAAGCCACCCAGGTGCCCCCAGAGCATCTGTTTTGATTATGTCTTGTGATTAAATAAAAGTAACTCTAGAAATACTTTCTACTTCCTGGTAGTAAAAGCACTTCTAAGAAAATTAGAACCAACCTTTAGTAACAGTGTTAGGTTTTTGCTGCTAAAAAGGAAGTAAATGGAAATGAGTATTGGCATAGTTGGTGTCCGTAAAATGAAAAGTTTCTGCTGGGTCTAAGAAATAACATAGAACGTTTGGTAGCACTTTATATAGTTTTGAGGAACAAATGTCAGTTAGGGCCTAATTATGGAGTGTTTCTTCTGCAAATCACTTAGTCAGCAGGTTTTTTCTCCTTGGCTAATATTTACTGAATCTTGGAAGAGACAAAGTCCAAAAAGCCTTTTATGAAAGAGTTTGGGGGTCCTGTTTTTTACCCTTTTAAAGTATCAGAAGAATGGCACTTTCTGCCCAGTAGGAACATCTGTCCTTGCTCTATCAAAATTTTCCAGAAGCTCCATTGGGATGTTGACATACCTTCCCTCCATGCTCTCTAGATCTTTGGGAAGGGTTTTTTTTTATTGTTTGAGATCAGTCTCTTACATAGAATAGTATTTATTGGTCATTTCTTACATTTTGGCGATGTGTTAACTGCCAGAGAAATAGACTGCTATCTTGGGCATAATTTTTGATATTTCTTAGAATTTACAGTAATATTTTTGTAAAGCTCTAATCTAAATAAAGACCTTAATTAATTAGTGGATATTGGCCTTTTCTGACTTTTGAAAATCTCATGAAAGCTAGGATCCAAGAAAAGGCTTTAAATATGCTATACAGGTATTTTGCAATTAAATTCAGAGGGTGGGCTTCAACCAGTTTAATAATCCTGACCCTAAATGTATTTGACAGCTGTAAACCCAGTATTCATATCATAATTATTACCAGTTAGAAGTATTGAATAAGAGAAAAGGCTGTTCTTGGAGATGTTTCCTATTTTATGTTCCCTTTTTATGAACTTCTTTTTAAAGATTTATTTATTTTAAAGAGAGGGGTGTGCTTGGGTGGCTCAGTCGGTTAACTGCCTTTGGCTCAAGTCATGTTCCCGGGGTCCTGGGATTGAGCCCCATGTTGGACTTCCTGCTCAGCAGGAAGCCTGCTTCTCCCTCTCCCTCTGCCTGCTGTTCTCCCTGCTTGTGTTCTCTCTCTCTCTCAAATAAAATCTTAAAAAATTTTTTTTTAATTTATTTTAAAGAGACAAGGAGAAAGAGAATCTTCAGCAGACTCTGCTCTGAGCACAGAGCCTGACTTGGTACTTGATTTTAAGACCCTGAGATTATGACCTGCATGAAATCAAGAGTCAGACGCTCAGCCAACAGACATCCAGGCGCCCGATCCCCTTTTATGAATTTGATTTGAATGGTTCCCTAATTGTTTTCTGAGCTTGTCATCCTTAAGGTACCCTTTAAGAAGGGGCTGAATCACATCATCCTGAGACTTGTACTCTTGTCAGTTTGTGCCTACATCATGAAAACTCCTGCGTGGGTGTCCAAAGCTGTCTGAGAGTAGGACCCAGGAGCCTGTGCCTGGTGAGGGAGGCTGGGGTGAGGGGAGTGCTGGTAGCCAGTTGGACTGCCAGAATCTTCATTTTTCAGAGACAGAGGAAGTGTACAAATTCCAGAAACTCCAAACTAGCTTCACTGGCATTCTAAGGACTAGCCAGTAACTCATAACTTAAAAAAAAAAAAAAAAAAAATTCAAACTCTAATGAGAATTCACAGAGAGATTGTGAAAAATTTAATGGTGAGGTTCCATATAAGTGATTGTTAAATTGACACAAATACTTATCAGACCCAAAGGTGTATTTATCTGAATTAGAAATTTTTACTGAGGAATAGCAGAACTAAAACTCTATCTCTAGACGGATTGACATTTCTTTAAAATTCCTGCACTTACTTCTTTGTAAAGGGAATTGAAGACTGTAAATTTTTGAAGAGAACAGGGAGCACCTGTGAAGTGCTGGGCCCTGCGTCGGCTTACACACTCGTGGCTCCAACAGCTGCCCAGCTGTCCTCTCTGGTCTCACTGCGGTGTTTGTCCTCCTGCTCTCCGATGCTGCGTCCGGGCAGGACAGCTGTTCTTCACAGCCTCTGATTGGCTTCCACTCTGTTTCAGGTGCCCCAGTGTAACATAGGTGTTGGCCTTACTTTCCTTTGTCTCCTCTGTCTTCCTTTATCCAGAGAAATGTGAGTTCAAGGGCTCCCTGTCTGGCAGTAATGCGGGAATTACGAGCATCGAATTTGACAGCGCTGTGAGTATCCCATGGCTGTGGAAATGAATGCGCATACAGGGGCTTAGAAACCATTTAAGACATCCGGTTCTTGAAATTTAAAAATTACTCAGACGATTTCCCTGCTGTTCTGTATCTTAAGTTCCATCAGTGTTAGATCAGGATGCAAGGAGATGGTAAATTCTGGGCTGGTTGTGACGGTGTTGCAATCTGGGTGGGGGAGGCAGGTCTGCAGGGCCCCAGCCAGTCAGTTCTCTGCAGGCTTGCTGAAGGTCCTAGCTGAAGCCTGGCGGTGCAGGGGGAGCCACAGGGGTCTAGCTAGGTGCGTGAGAGTCAGGCGGGTCTCAGGGAGAGCAGTTTTGGGAGGTTGCGGGAGGGGAAAGCCGATGCCTCTGGGCTCTGCAGCTTGGACAGTGTGTAGACGGTTGGTATTTACTGTTACTGAAGGGGGTGGAGGGGATGGCTGATAAACTCGAGAGGACAGGTTACAGTTTGAGCTGGAGAGTCTGCAACATTCCAGCGGGAGGGCAGGATTGAGCAAGTTCAGGGGCAAAGTGGATTTACCACAGTCAGTGGGTTGACTGACTACTGGGAGTAATGGTCGGTATTCTCATCAGCTGTGCAGCTTTTGAGCATCTAATAAGCCTTTTCTGGACTCGATTCTTAGGGAGTTTCTATTGTGTGGACTGAAATAATCTATTTTGTCTAAAATTTGTCTCCCCCCACCCCCTTATTCCCATAGGGATCTTACCTTTTAGCAGCTTCAAATGATTTTGCAAGTCGAATCTGGACTGTGGATGATTATCGGTTACGGGTAAGACCCAGTTAAGTTAGTATAACTTCCAAACTTCATGAGGTTCTTAAAGCACAAAATGTAGGAAATGGCAGGTTGATTTATTAGGAGAATCGTGTTTTCCTAAAAATCATACTTGGTTCCCCCCGCCTTTCCCTTTCCCCCTTGGGAAAATTTGTTTCCATGTTACATTCTTCCTTTGTCCAAGATTCAGTTTCAGAATGCTTGCACGAGGAAGCCATCACATTTCTCATGAAAGACTAGGGGTGTTCCTGTTCCTAAGAACTACATACTTGGGGCAGGCAGGTGTCTGTTTTAGCAGAACTTCCAAGGATCCCAGCATTGTTGTAGAAGTTACATTTGTTACGTCCGAAGACTCATAATGAGCTCCCAGAGTTGAGCTGAAAGTAGGACATAGAAGTGCATGTGGGTACAATTAGGGTTAGCAAGAAGCACAACTCTGACACAAGGTGGGAGCAGGTGGCAGGGAAAAGGGGAAGGTCGGGGTCATGTGAAGGAATTCGCATGTGAACCCGAAGTTGTTGAGAAGTCGCTTGGCCTCCACAACGAAGACCAAAACTTGATGTTTATAGTACTTTTGTTCTAGTGAAAAACAAATAGCTTAATTTGAGGACATGTTGTTTTTCTCCTTAAGCCTGAAGCAGTTTTCACATGTGCTCATTAAGAAAAGGCTGTTGAAAGATAAGAGGGAGGCTGAGCTTCTTACGAAGTAAAAAGTTTGACACAAGCTTTTGTACATCAGCTTGCATGAGGCATGGCGTTGAGAGCTTCTTCAAGGGAAATCTGCAGAGAAGGGGAGCTGCCACAGAATGGTCCGTCGCCAGTGGTCTGATGTGATGATGCTGGGATGCAGTTTGGAGAATCTTTGGAAATGCACAGTTCACGTGTCTCATAGGCGCTCCGTTTTCTTGAAGGAGCTGTAGGGAACACCACCAGTATTAGCTGCTAGTCAGTACCTCATGGACAGTGGTGATCCTTCATTCTGAGTCGGAAGAAGATCCAGGGTTACACATGATAAGTATGGGGCGGGAAGCTGACAAAGATTACTCCCTTGTGAAAGCTGAAGAGCCTGCTCTGTGTTCTTGTCTGAATGCAGGAGCAGGGAGGTGGGCCACTGGGCCCCCGTGGGCAGGGCTGGACCTTTTGCTAAAGCAGTAGTCCCATCTGTTCCAACGCTTGAACAAGTTTTCAGTAGCCGCCCTCTACTTCTGCACCCTCAAGGTGGCCTGGCCCGTCCTCATCCAGCATGATAACCTGCTGTGGGCTGTGCTGTGCTCTCTTAACCATCGATCCCTTACTGGATTCTTGCAACAGGGTTGAATACGCCTGCAGTTCTTAGTTTGCCTAAAGGAAAAGGGACTTTTCTTGAGTGGCTCCGATGCGTCAGACCTAATACCGAGGTATTGTATGTACCCTACTGCTTTTTTCATCCCCAGGGGAACAAGGAGGGATAGGTTATGGAAAACCAAGGCTCAGTCAGATAAGCCCACAAAATTGCCTAGAGTCCCCCAGCTGCCAGATGAGAATGGGAACTGGGCTCCTTGCTTTTCGCTGTTTGCCCTGGATTATTCTAGTGTCTCTAGAGACTGAGGTACAGCATACCTGTCTCACCATGAAGAGGGACATACAGTCTTCCTTACATTGTAGGCCATTGGAGGAGAAAAGCAAGCAGTTGAGGGCTCAGCCAGTTGTGCAGGCTGATATTTTCCATTGGAAAAGAGTTCTGTCCAGGTGGCCATCAGCCCTTGGGTTGGACATAAGAAGGGGACCTGCAGGTGGGAGCCAGACCTGGAAGACAAAAATCATAATGTTGGGAAACTCTTCAAGTGAGCTAATCTGCAAGAGTGGGCTAAGTTTCACGGGAGAAAGGACTCAGTGCTAGAGCACCAGGCTTCCGCTGGGGTTGCTGATGGGATTGAGCCTCACATCAGGCTCTCTGAGCCTGCTTCCCCCTCTCTCTCTATGCCTGCCTACTTGTGACCCCCTCTCTCTCTGTTCCAAATAAATAAGTAAAATATTGAAGAAGAAGGAAGAAGAAGAGCCAGGAAATAACAGTATCTGTTTTCTTTCTTTCATCAATCTAGCAGTTTTACCAGGGAAAGCTGTGTGCCCATAGCTGTCTGCCGTAGCACCATTAGTGCTCATGAGATGTAAAGTGACCTAGGTGTCCGCTGGGCATAGAAATTTCCATTAAATTGTAATTGCCACTTGACAATTACTTAACTATCAGAGTAACTTTGAAGGCTCTTAGTGGTTGGAGGAAGGAAGAACATTAATGCTCCCGGCAGTGGGCCTTGTACACGGGGCACCTTGTTTGGTCCTTTTACCGAAACAGCGGGAGGAAGAGGTTCTTCTTTCGCAGATGTTTGAGCCCTGACTGTTCAAAGCCAGAGCATTGTAACCCCAGAGCCGGAGCATCTTCAGCTGTCACATGGGAAATACTTCTGCTATAATGTGAAAATGGCAATGGATAGTTTTTTTTTTGTTTTTTTTTTTTTAATTTATTTATTTGACAGAGAAGGAGATCACAAGTAGGCGGGGCGGGGGGGACCCATGTTCCTTGCTGAGCAGAGAGCCCGATGCGGGGCTCAATCTCAGGACCCTGAGATCATGACCTGAGTCCAAGGCAGAGGCTTACCCCACTGAGCCACCCAGGCGCCCTATCAGCAGTGGATAAATTTTTAGGAGTATTTGCACATGAGAACAATGAAAGTATTAACACGCATTTAGTAGCGTTCACAGAAATGAGTGCTCACAAGCCTGTTTATGAGCAGTGTCTCTTTCTCTGGAGTCTGCCAACTGAGATTTTACTGCGGTAGGATGACAGAAAACAGTGAATGTACCCAAAACTTTGCTTTCTTTGAGGATGTAGTTCTTTTCTCCGAACTTAATTTACCTAGCATGGGGCGTACTCTTCCTGAGTTGAATGTCTCCCCATGAACCGTACAGTGTGGATGATCTGTGCTGGGTGGAATCCTTACTCCCGTACTGTACTGAATGTAAGCCTTGTTGCGGGAGTGTTCAGGATCTTACGAGAAGGATCTGTGGGAGGTTTTTATACAGCCATAGCACAGCTGCCCCCTGGCTGGCGCATTTGTCTGATGTCGTTCAGTTTCAGAGAGGTTTAAATGTGGGAGAAACGAGTCTTCGAATCTGTGTCAGCTTCTCCCTTCGGAAGGGAGAAGTATGTGTGGGCCTGGGTTTTCTGTTCCTGTGGTGAGGTGGCGTTCCTCCACTGAGCAGGGAGGGAAGATGGGTTTCAAAAATTCTCACACTAAACATTTCACAAGGAACTGTGAGATCCCGTCTTTGGGAGTCAGTGTGGAAACGCTGTAAGTAAGCAGTTGTAGTAAGTATATGAAAGCTTTTAAAGGTTTATTTATTGGTTGGTTAAAAAGAAAACCTCAACGAATACCTTCTGAGCCGTTGAGATTTCACACCTAGAAGCATGCCAACCTGCACTGAAAAATCCATGAGGAGTAGTGAAAGGTCCGACTCCCAGGGTCCCCTCCCTATACCCCTGGCATCCCCTTGGGCTCCAGTAGTGCCGTGATGGGCGGAAGGGTGGCTGGTGCTGGGCAACGCCCCAGGGCTGTGTTCCTTGGTGAGAACCCCCCAGCCAGCTGCTAAGGGGGTTCATTGTTGGGGCTGCTGGTACCTGTGGTTATGGTCTGACATTGCAAGCTGAGATCTCTGATTGAAAAAAACCCCAGGGTTTTTAATAGTTTATTTAGAGAGTCCTGATGTTTCCTTTTGTAAATTATGCCTGCAGGGAACCAGTCTGTTCTGACTTTAAATAGGGTCTGGACTTTAGAGGCACTGGGTAAAATCTAGGCTTTGAAAAATTCTGTAATTTGATACAATCCGGATTTACAGAGAAGGTTGCAGGAATTCTACAGACCTGTGGTATCTGTAACAGTTTATTTCAAAAAGGTCCTCCAACTGCCTGTCCCTTTTTTTAAAGTTGGCACTAGTGGTGTTGGATTTTTTTTTTCCTATACGTTATTTGGGCTGGGAGACTTATGCTCTTCTTCTTGATTCCTTACCTCTGGGCCACACTGAAAGATAGGCTTTCTGGACCTTTTGCCGAGCAATATATCCTTTTTTCTGAATATTCCTGACCAGATCTTTGGGTGTTTGGAGAAGCCAGCTCTTCCAGCATGGTGTGTCCCCACGGCTTACCCCAGCTGTGTTCTCTCTCCTAGCACACTCTCACAGGACACAGTGGCAAAGTGCTGTCTGCCAAGTTCCTGCTGGACAACGCGCGTATTGTTTCCGGAAGTCATGACCGGACCCTCAAGCTCTGGGATCTCCGCAGCAAAGTCTGTGAGGAAATTTAGTGTCTCTCTCTCTCTGTACAATTAGACGTTAACCACAAGGTGTTTGTTGCCACACGTGATACAGTTTGAATTTCAAGTCTGGTTTCGTATTCAGAATGGCGTTGAGGTAGTGACAGTTTTCCGTGTTTGAGAGTGTGTTTAAGTAAGGAGTTCCAGTTACTCAGGGTGAGAGGGAAGCGATGCTCCCTGCACAGCCTCTGCTGTGCAGGGGCCTGTGCTCGATGACTAATGTTCACTTTTCTTTCAGGTATAAAGACGGTGTTTGCAGGATCCAGCTGCAACGATATTGTTTGCACGGAGCAGTGTGTCATGAGTGGACATTTTGACAAGAAAATTCGTTTCTGGGACATCCGGTATACTACCCCAGAGCTTGGTGGGGGAGGCAGATGAGAGGGTCTTCCCGTGGTAGAGCTCTGAGGAGGTTTTGTATACGGGGTGTACTTTTTAAGATCCCCAGAAGTGGCAGAAATGAGCTTTAGTCCACGTTTGTCTCAGTAGTTTGATAGTCTTTACCGTGAAGTAGACAGTCGTGTTCAGTGATCACTTACGAGCACACTCTCTACGCTTAGGAGGCACTTTTTCAGCTGCTAGGAAAATGAAGATGGACAGCTAGGTAGTTGGAAATGTCACAAGTCTGCACGGGGTTCGGAAGTAGAGCCAGGTGCCTTAGTCCAAGGATATGAGAGAACACCTGTCAGGATGAGTCTTAAGAAGGGAGTGTGCATCACATGACAGAAAGCCCCTGACAGACTTTCCAGACAGGACAGCAGGATAGCCTGGGAGATCAGGCCGTGGGCAGACAGGACTAGCCGGTGGTGGGTTAGGATCAGATGGCTGTTTGTTAAGTGACTTGCTCTTGTAAGCCATTGGGTGTTTTAACAGAGGACCTCTCTGCACAAGTGAGTAGATGGTGCGGGTGGCATTGAGACGGCGTCCTAGGAGCTGGGACCTCATCCAGCAGTAAAGGAGATGTGGAGGGGAAGGGATTTGAGGGAGCATTCGCACATGACGGGTGAGGAAGGGGAGGACTGAAGCCAGACCAGTGACTAACATACCTAAGGCAGGAACTCTGCCCTAGAGTCCAGCTGCACACCTGGCTCACCCAGCTGGACTTGGGGAGCCCTGGAGCTGAACTGGTAAGGCATGGAGCCTGCAACAGGCCACATGTTTGTCCCAGACCCATCAGAGCAAGTTTCTGGGCCCTTGGCCACATTGACACGTCATCACTGGAAGAGTACTGAACAGGTCGCAGGCCTGCTTAGCTTGTGCTGGGCCGAAGCTCCCTGATTGGCAGTTACTGTAGCATTTCTCCAAATGGGCGAGGAAGTTAATTCTTTCCCAATTCCAAGTTCTGGTACTTAAACTATAGCTATAGAACGTATTGATAGAAAAATAGTAAAAGCAGTTACTGAAGTGATTTTTAGAAGGTTGGGACACACTCACTGTTCTTGAAGAGTATGGCATTCTAGTCGAATTCCCTCCTTTCCCCTTCTTCTCCATGGAGCATGGTGTCCTGGTCAACACGGGGAAGTGCCGACGCTTCCATGTTCCGTCTTCTCAGACTTCCTGTCACTTCTGTAGATCAGAGAGCATCGTCCGGGAGATGGAGCTGCTGGGCAAGATTACCGCCCTGGACTTAAACCCAGAGAGAACAGAGCTTCTCAGCTGCTCTCGTGATGACCTGCTGAAGATCATCGATCTTCGGATCAATGCTGTCAGACAGACGTTTAGGTAAGTGGAGACATGCTGGTTTGGGTTTTATTTGACCCTTGCTGTTTTCCTGGGGGTCACATGAACACCAGAAGCCCTGACCCTGCTTTCTCAAACCCCGAGTGGTATGAGCTCTCGGGGTAACAGTGCCATTGTTGGTTTCAGCGCGCCTGGGTTCAAATGCGGCTCTGATTGGACCAGAGTTGTGTTCAGGTGAGTAGCGCTTCTCCTCCTGTCCTGCCCCACCCCCCCCAGCTGGTGCATGCGGGAGTTGGAGGTGGGGGGCATGTGTTCACTGACTAATCCTGAGGGAGTATCCAGGAATGACCTGGAAGTTCACCTTTAGGGGTCACTGTCTCTGTCTCCTTCCTTTCTGCTGTTCCTAAGAGCTGTTGGAGAGCTTCTAGGGAAGGTGGGCTCTGTGCAGAAGGGCAGCCCCCTTTCCTGGTTCTTGGCTCTCCCTGCCCAGTGCTTCTCCCACGGGATGCTGAACTAGGGGTGGGCACTTGACACTTTTCTGGTCTTACTTGTTCTGCAGCCCTGATGGTGGTTATGTGGCAGCCGGCTCAGCTGAGGGCTCTCTCTACGTCTGGAGCGTGCTCTCGGGGAAGGTGGAGAAGGTCCTTTCCAAGCAGCACGGGTAAGGGGAATCCTGGTAGACCCCCTGAGGTTGTGTGCAGGTGCTGTGACCTCATCTCAGGGGTCCTGCCCCTTTGGGCATGGACTGAGCCCCAGGAGGGCGTTGTGGGCTCACTGGCTCCACTGTGAGCGAGGTCACTGAGGGGAGCCTGGGGCCATTCATGCAGTACAGCAAGCAGCAGTGTTTGCTTAGGGATGTGACAGGCTCTCTAGTTAGAGCCCTTCGAGTAGTGGCTGCTGGAGAAAGCTTAGGAAGATCACCTAGCGTCTCCTCTCTGCTTCTCCTTCTCCCTTCAGAGCCCCATTCCCCAGGAAATTGACTGGCTGTAAACCCAGATTTTCACTCTTTCAGTACTCCCCCGGGCTCTTGTTTCTCTTAGCTTTGTTCTCTCCACCCAAGCTCAGCTGCTAGTTTTAATGGAGACAGGGCTTTCCTCCAGAACCATCTCTCCTTGCTCCCAGGGCCAGTGGCCATTGTCCACTCCCCAGTCGGGCCCCCGAGGCTCTTGTCAAAGGGTGAAGTCTACCGCCTTAGGGTAGACTTGGTTCCACCGGACTCCTTTTGTTCTTTTTGTTTCTAACCTGCTTCCTTCAGTACACAGTGTGGGGTTCCTTTGAGTTTCTGTGCTCATTGCCAAGGGCCTGCCTGTGAGCGGCAGCAGTCCTGGTGAGTAAGCCAGGCATTGGAGAGAGCCTTTCTCCCGGAATGCAAGGGGGCCTGGCGTTCACCTCACTAAGATCTCACAGATGTTTTGACCTCTCCCTTTGAAGCTCGTCCATCAATGCGGTAGCATGGTCCCCTTCTGGCTTCCATGTCGTCAGTGTGGACAAAGGAAGCAAAGCTGTGCTGTGGTCAGAGTATTGATGGCACCTTCGAGAGAGAGAGAGAGAGAGAAAGGAGCTGAAGTCGGAGAAGCACCCAGGCTCCTGCGGCGGCTCTGTCCTGGCAGGTGGTGTGTTGGGTGTAGCTTCGATCTCCAGAGACAAGCTGGAGCCGCGTGGTGCGTGGCCTGCCTTTGAACAGGATTTCTGAGGATTTTAGCTGAGGTCTCTAATGGCCTGAAAGGATAACACTGAAAAAATCTGGCCCTGCAGTCACTTAGCAGGGGTTCAGGTTCTTGCCTTGATTCAGGTGGGAAACACTACTGGCTCTGATCTTCCATACCTCATCGGGGGGAGCACGGTCACCTGCCAGCTTCCTTACTGGCCGGCAGGGCCAGGAACACCCCACACGTGCGCATGGGTGTCAGTTCTCCCTCTGTGCATTCTCCCGTCCTTCCAGAGTCGGTTCTGGCCCAATGCATGTCCTGTCCCCTTGGGATGGTTTTCCCGGTGAACTCGCTTGAATCATTGGATTAACAGGAACCCTAAAAGGATTACCCCTGCCCTCAGCCCACAGGGACTGCCCTGATTTCTGAGGAGACGACGGGACTGTGGTTCTCCCTGCTGGTCTCTGTCATTATTACAAGGCTCTTTCTCTGATCTCATCTGATTACTGTTGGAATTTCCTTAGGTCTCCTAAACCATTCTTAGAAAGCAGCTGTTCTTCAAAGCTTCAGGTTACCTTTCTCCCTAACGATGCTATACACTTATTTCTTGGTGAAGAAATAAATCTGTTTGGTTATAAAATACTTTTTGGAAGTAGGAGAGGAAGTGCAGAAACCTCCCTGCAGGGGAAGTGGGCCTGCTGTGGGAGTAGAGTGGCTTCCTGCAGCCATCTGTAGACTCCCAGAAAGTGGGCAGGGCGCACGCCACCTTCTTTCTAGGTGTGCCTCAGTGACAGCAGCTGGTAACAAGAGATTGGAGGCCTCGAATGTATTAGCCTGGAGCCAGCAGTTCCGGGTCACTGCCCCTTTGCCACGCCTATGTGCAATACCCCTCGGTGCTTTAGTGCGAGAAGCCCGTTCCAAGAAGCATGGGAATGTCATCTTTAGGTGTCGGGAGTTCGGATCAAGGCCAGGGAAAATCTGGCCTGTGGCGCCTTTTTTTTTTTTCCTTAAAACATTTATCTTTACCATTTTACCTGTGTATATCATTTTAGTTCCTGAGTGACTGAAACACCAGTACTTTCATCACTTTTTAATTTGCACTTTATTTTTTTCCTTCCACACTTGTTCTCTGGACAGCTGTGGGTAGGAGAGCTGGAGCTGGGTGAGGAGGGGTGCCGTGTCCATCCTCCCTCTCTCCCTGGCCCTCCTCCCCCCGCCCCTTCCAGCTTGCTGCTCCAAGAGCTCAAGGGGAGGTAGAATTCGCAGGCCAGGGCGCATCTTTTATTTATTTATGTTGCCCAACAGAACTTGATTGTAAATAAAAAAGAAATCGGTTATATACTTTTCAAACTCTGTGTCTCTTCATGGTTATTGTGTGCTCCTCTGTCTTTCCGAGAAAAAGCTGTTTCTTTCATCTGTTTTCGTGGTATTTGTTCATTTCTAAATAACAGCTATTTTCCTGGGGTCTCTCCTCATCGTTCATCATTCGAGCCTCCGTTACCACTGCCTGTAAACCAGCATTCCAGTTTCACATCACATGTAAGTCTTAGGATCTCATGAATCTCTGCATCTGTCCCGTGAGCGCCCAGCGCACTCACAAGACCCCTGCCATCAGCTCTGTGCTGCAGCCGGTGAGAGTACCCGGTTTCGCACTGGACACTTTGTCCATAGGATCGATGATGAGCCTTACCGGTCTCCGCTGGTCTCCGGCCTCTTTGCTGAAGGGCCATGAATTATCTCACAGAGGAGTGATTTGTTTGCAGGACCTTGGGTCTCTAGTAAGCACCCTTGTACTGGGACAAATCCTGATCTCCTGGAGCCACCACCCCCACCCCAAAACCTCTGTCCGTTCCCTTATGACAACTGTTTGTGGGGGGGCGGGGAGACAGCCGAACATCCACTTCGCCCAGCACCTGAGGGCAGGATTCTTTTGTGACCTGAAGTCTCAGAGGCAGCCAGCAGTCTCCAAAAAGCCAAAGGAGTCTTTTGTAGTCACTTTCAAGAAGGGTAAGTCATTCTTAAAAGAGGTGTGAAGTAAGCATTGCAGTAACCTCCAACTATCCTGTTTTCTTTGAACTTGGAGGGAAGCTTGGCTGCTCTCCACTTTGAACAAAGAGAGGTTTTGGTTTGAGATCCATCTGTACCGTGAAGCTCTCTTCAGGTCACCTGACTGCCCTGGCTGAGTGTATTTGTGTGGGCTCACACGGGCGGTGGGGGAGGACTTCATCTGTCTCATGGTCCTGACACACACCCCCCAAAATCTGTCCGATCATCTGGGACCCTCCCTGCTGCTGCGGCTTCTGCTGGTGGGGGTAGGAGATGGTCGCAGGAATTTCTCCATTTCCCAGATGAATCTGGGTGATTGGAGCTGGTGTGCTCCCTGGTAAGTGATGGCAGCTTTGACCCAAACACGAACATACCTCAGAAGTTGAGGATTTTAAAAACATTTTTTAAATGAACTTAAGTTCCCTAGGTCATTTCCCAAAATAGTGTGATAAATCAAGATCAGTGCCTTATTCTTAAAGTACATGTCACATACGTACTAGCCTTTGTCCTGTAAGTCCTGCAAAGCCCCTCTGCATCTTTCACATCGTGGCATGCAGGAGAATTTGTGTGGACACTGGGGTAATCTCATCCTGGAGGGGCCAGCCTGGCCCCAAGGGTGGCTTGGTTGGGAAGTTCCAGATCTCTTGAACAGAGCAAGGTGTGCAGAGCTACCTGTGTTTTCGTGTGGCACAGCATGACCCTACTTTGAGAGAACTAGATATTTTGAAAGGTGCACTTGAAACCCCTCACCCATGTGGGCACCAGGAAAGAGTGGTCCTGATGAAATTCCCCTCCGAGACTGCCGGATTGCAGAAACCACAAACATTTCTGGGTTCCTGTGAGGCTTCAGATCGTAATCAGAAGCCTATGGCTCTCAAACCTTGTGATCTGTGAACTGTGTCCCGTGTCACAACTTGGGGGGAGTTTCATAGTTAAGTGAGAAGCTCTTCTAGCATCCTGACCCCTAGTGAGCGCCACGCCTCCAGTCCACACACCCCTCCAGGCCTACAGGGTGAGGCTGCCACCAGATGGCCTGGGGCTGGCCACAGGGTTGCCTTTACTCCACTCCATCTTTTCTCTTGTGCCATATGGAAATGCCCACTCGCTAGAAATCCCAAGTTTTCTTTTTGAAGATTTTATGTATTTATTCAACAGACAGAGACCACAAGTAGGCAGAGAGGCAGGTAGAGAGAGAGAGAGAGGATGAAGCAGGCTCCCTGCTAAGCAGAGAGTCCGATGCGGGGCTCAATCCCAGGACCCGGGGATCATGACCTGAGCCAAAGGCAGAGGCTTTAAACCACTGAGCCACCCAGGCGCCCAATCCCAAGTTTTCAAGCCAGTAATAAACTTGGGGAATCTTTTTTTTTTTTTTTTTTAAGATTTTTATTTATCTATTTGACACACAGAGATCACAAGTAGGCAGAGCAGCAGGCAGAGAGGAAGGGGGAAACAGGTTCCCCGCTGAGCAGAGAGCCCGACGTGGGGCTCGATCCCAGGACCCCGAGATCATGATCTGAGCCGAAGGCAGAGGCTTAACCCACTGAGCCACCCAGGCACCCCAAACTTGGGGAATCTTGAGGAAGGTGAAATATACCCATTTGTATAGATTCTGGAAGAAAATCAAAGAAAAGTGGTACAGTCCAGTAAAATTACTTTTTAATCTGCTTCACCTCCACATAATTTGATTTTCGTACCTCAGGGATCTCTGGCTTCATAGCACAGCCCTACTGGTTTCCATCTATGCCTCCCAACCCTTCCCTGCCTTCATTCCAGATGCTTCCATCCTCTGTGTGCTCCAGCCATTATGTGCTCCTCAAACACTCCCACTCTCCTTTGTGAGTTTTCCCCTGGGCTACACAGCCCTCGTTTAACCCTGACTGACTGACAGGCTCAGTGAGCTCACCCACATTCAGTGGCCCCAGAATCTGAGGAGGCAGAGCAAACACTTGTGTGTAAGGAGCCCTGGTGCATCTACTGTCAGAGTGTTTCACAGCAAACCTGAAGCTTGTCATTTTCTCTGAATCACACATCCCAAACTACTAAGGACACTGTGCCATAGTTATACCTCATAGGATTTGGTAAGAACTAGGTGTCATCAACTGTTCAGTCCAGATTCAAATATTCCCAGTTGTTTCAACAGTGGGTGTTCTACTATGGGCTTGTTTGGATCAGGATTTAACATAACAAACTACCTTAAAATGTAATTGTAATGGCTTAAAACAGTCATTATTTCTCACAAACCTGTGAGTGGGCTGGGCTGGCCCAGTTGGGGATGAATGGTAGAGGGTGCCCTCACATCTGGCAGGCAGCTAGGAAAGCAAGAATGATGCAGCAAGATTGCACCCATCAATGTGCGAACACTTGTCATTCTGCCCGTGTTGCCTTGTCCCATCTCACTGGCCAGAGCAGATGGCACGAGCACCCTTGCCTGAGTGTGGGGTGCCACCCAGCAGCATCGGGACAGACAGGAATGAATTGGAGCTGTTATGGCAGTTGTCCACAATAAGGGCTCCGTTCTGTTCTCCTTTTGGGTCTTTTTTATTCTAAAGCAGTATCTGTTGCTGACTTTTTTTTATGCCCCACGCTGGATCTGGTTGACTTTCCCCATAGAAGTGGTATGTGTGTCCCAGATGGGAACAGTAGCCATGTGCCAGGCTTCTGTAGCTCTGCCCCGACCCTAGACATGGAGAGGAGGGCAGGTGAATCGGGCTCTGGGCTTTGTGTTCCCAGCGCAATAGCCTTAGGAGATGGCTGGCAGTTAAGCTTGTGAGCCAGGCCGGGCAGCATGCAGGCTGCGCGCACTCTGGTTTCTGGTTAGGAAGCCCTCAGTGCTGCTGCTCCCTAGAGTACATGCCCAGATGGTTCTAAGAACCTGTACGTCAATTCTCAGGAACCCCGCTGCCCCGCTGTGGTGCTCAGCATCATGCACGCTGAGTCAAGTTCGTATTTAGTAGGACCGAATCAGCGAAAACCTAACCAGACAGCCCTAGAAGGGTGGGTCGTTAACCAGCCAATGGGACGAATGACGAGGAGGGAGGGAGAGTAGTTAAAAACCTAAGAATAAACCACAGAGGAAGCAGAAGTGTTGCGTAGATACTGTTCTGTGCGTGCATGTGTAGGTTTCAGGTCACAGTGTAAAAGTCTATTTCTTTTTTACTGGTTTTAAATGTATTGAAATTCACATAAAAGTAACCATTTTAAAGTATATTCACAGTGTTCCACCGCCACGCCTGTCTGGTTCCAGCAAAAAAAGGGACATTTCTGAACCTGGATCAGTGTCCATTTTTTCCGGACTTTTTTGATCTACACCAAGCAGCTGATCTACCTGAAGACAAGCATGGGCACTTGTCTTAGCTCGGGCTGCTATCACGAAACACCACAAACCGGGCAGCTCTGACAACAGATACTTCTTCCTTCCGCCTCTGGAGGCTGGTAGCCTGAGGTCAAGGCACCCACCAGGTAGGTTCCCTCCGGAGGCCTTAGCTCAGAGGTCGGAGGTCAGAGGTCGCTGCTGCCACCCTGTGCTCACCGGACTTTGGAGTGCACTTGCATCGTGGAGAGTGGGTGTCTCTTACAGGGACACTAATCCTATCAGATCAATGCCCCGCCCTGTGACCTCATCCAACCCTGTTCACCTCCCAGCACCTTGTCACCCTGGGGATTTAGGGCTTCCACTTGTAGATTTGCGGAGGGGCGGTGCATGTGCACAAACATTCATTTCCTCTGAAAGGCCTCCCCCTAAGTGTGCTCAGCTTTAGGAGTGAGCAGCTCAGTTGGTGCTCGGCCACGAAATCTTGTATCGAAGCAGCTTCATGGCCCCTGGAAGCCCCCTAGTGCTGGGACCCATGTGGCATGATGAGGATGAAAAAGAACAGAGGCACACATGGAGGCGCATGTCAGCCTTGTAGGAGAGGACGAGGGGAACTGCTGGGCAGAATCCTCCACCCCCCACTCTGCACACGACTCTCCTTTTAAGGGACTCATCTGCACACTTGATGCATCTCCCCAGCCCTGAGAGAGGGCAGCTCACCAGCTCCCCTTCTATAGAGGAAGAAGAGGAAATAGCTGTGAGGCCAGGTACTTCCCCAAGGTCGCGGGGGACCCATCAATGGGTCACAGAACCTTGGACTCCAGCCTGGGGCGGTTTATATAGCATGGAAACCTGGAGCACCAAGTGCCATTCTCAGCACAATGCCTCAAGACGGACATTCAAAATCTTACTAGGGGTGGGACCCCAGCATGGGTGAGGCGGTGGCAATGCCCATGAGAAATGAGCACCTGGGTCCTAATCACAGATGAGTCACCCGTGGAAGAGATTAGATTAACTTGCAGCAAAGGAGGGAAGTAGGAGGGAAGCTGAGCCCTTCCTAACAAAGAATTTTCTTATGTGTCACACTGTTTCAAAAAAAGGTGGTAATGATTTCCCCATCCCCGGAAGCATTCAACAACTTCTTATTGTGCATGTTGTGGAGAGAGCCAAGCAAGGGATGGCGTGTGGACTACATTCTTTTTATTATTTATTTATTTATTAAGTAGGCTCCATGCTGGGCATGAGCCTCAGTGCTGCAGGGCTTGAACTCACAACCCTGAGTTCAAGACCTGGGCTGAGATCAAGAGTCAGATGCTTGGGGGCGCCTGGGTGGCTCAGTGGGTTAAAGCCTCTGCCTTTGGCTTGGGTCATGATTCCAGGGTCCTGGGATCAAGCCCCATTTCGGGCTCTCTGCTCAGCAGGGAACCTGCTTTCCTCTCTCTGCCTGCCTCTCTGCCTACTTGTGATCTCTGTCAAATAAATAAATAAAGCTTTAAAAAAAAAAAAAAGAGTCAGATGCTTAACTGACTGAGCCACCCAGGATCCCTTGGATGATATTCTTTTTTAAAGCATCTGCCCAACTTGAGAACCCCCAGGATCCCATTTATGATTTCAGATACTGTAAACCAGCCCAACCAACAACCACCCTCTACTCCTTAGGCCAGCTGCCCAAGAGGTCCATGTTGGAATTAAGGTGACTTTTAAAAGTTCTGATTCCCTGGCATTCTGTAAATAGAGTTGCCCCAGTCTTTTCCGGGGCTCTCTGCTTCAGGGAAACCAAGGCGATGAGGACTCAAGATTTTCATTTTGTAGTTGATGTTTAGCAGGGTGTACCGGTTTTCTTCGTGCATGTGCCCTAATAAAGCCCTAAGACGATAACCTGCCCCTGAAGCCCATAAGCCTCTTAAGCTGAACATCTCCACCCCGCCAGCCCCGAGAGCTGGCTGGCACTGCGTCTGCTACCTGGAGGGGAAGCGTGGGGCTTGGAGCTTCATCTCACTGGACACCGACTTGAGAGAAGCAAGTGTTGCTGTCACCAGTGGTTCCCAGACTTTGCATTCATAGAGCTGTCAATTTCCAAAATAACTCTAGGGAAAGGCTGACAACTTTTTATTTTGGCCAAGTAAGGATTTTTTTCTAAACTGTCATCTACTCTCATCTTTATCTTATAAAAGAAAGGACATTTTGTCCTCACGCTCAGTGGCTGCATCCTGAAATATTTATGAGTAAAGTGTCATGATGTCTGCAACTTACTTTCAGACGCTTCAAAAGGAAAAAACAATAGGTGAGCACATGCACTGAAGTGTTCATTGTCAAATCTCACAGGACTATGTGGGTGTTTATTGTGTTATTCCAACTTTTCTCTATATTCTGAACTTCACAATAGATTACGGAGAATGCAAAACTCATGGGAGGGGCAGATAAGGGGTGGCTTGAAATTGGGGGGTTGATGGAGGAAATGACCGAAATAGGGGCCCAAGGAACTTTTGGGGGGGATGGAAATGTTCTGCCTTAACCATAGACCTAGTAAAACTCATCAAACTGTACTTTAAAATGGGCAACTTCACATGTATGTAAAGTGTACCTCAATAACGAAAGAAAGGACATTTTAATATCCAAAAATTGAGGACTTTATAGCCTTAGAAAAAAGGAGGACAGTCCTTTACAGTGAAGACATTTGGCTCCATGACAAAGCTTACAACAGTGCCCTTGTTTTTCTCATTTTTCTGCCAAACAGAAATAAATTCATCACAGACCAGAGGCTGGGAATGACTACCAGAGACTACATTTCCAAAAAGAATGAGGTCCAGTATCCAGCCCAACCCCACGTGCCGGGAACTGGCGGGTCAGTGACTGAAATCCACCAGTCTGCACCCTCCCAGCGACCTGGTTTTAACAAAACTATGTGAGAATGGGTGTCCCAAGAGCAGCCACAGCTGCAAGTGGGTCCCAGATGCTGCAGCTCCTCTGATGGGGACACGGAAAGAAACACCCTGGTCATTTGTTTTCCTCTTGTTGGCGTATTTTTAAGGGGAAAAGCAGATATTCTTCTAAATTTATAACAATGTTATCTTTTAACCTTTCTGCTTTAGGAGAAGTAAATGATTTTTGGAGAAAAATTTTAAATCACAGACAAGGAAAAAAAAAAAGTGAAACCTGACATACCCACCATACAGAGACCAGTTAGCTCCTTAGTATGTATCCTTGCAGATTATGCATATAATGCGTGTGTGTGTATGTGTGTGTGTGTGTGTGTGTGTATACACACAGAGTGTATGTGTTTGCAGTGTGTATGTGTGTGTGTGTGTATACACACACAGTATATGCGTTTGCAGGGTATGGTCATATTGCACATGCCATCCTATGACTGTTGTTTGGTCACAATCTCTACCTTCTTATTCCAGATATTTCTGTCTTACATGTCACCTAGACCATATACAGATTTTCCTGATGGACTCAAATGTCCTGTAGATCCTATTTTTCAAATTGGAGGTCCAGTCTGGGATCACACATTACATCTGGATGTTGAGTACCTTGAGTGTCTTTTAATCAAATACCTCCCTTTTCTGTGACATTGGCTTATGAAAGATACCAGCTACTTCTCCATTCATCGGGTAGCTCTCTTGTGGTGTCTTCTAGCTTGTTCCTCTATTCCCTGCATTTCTCATAAACTGGAAGTGATGTTGAAATGCTTAATGGATTCCCATTCACTATTGTGGCTGCTAAGATTGACCGTGGACCTTGCCTGGTCCCCTGTTGTGCAGGCCAGGCTTGCACCTCGTGGTGAGCCCAGGATCCATTTGCCATCACTTTGGTGCTAATAGGGACAGCCATTCCTCTCCACCAACTCTTCACCTGATGGTTTTGACCCCAATGAAGAATCTTTTTTGGAGTCGATCATTTTATCAATATTTTAAAATGGGTATTTGCTATCATTCAGCAATGATAAGACGAACAGATCAGGAAACAATGGCCACTGAAAAGGTAATTTGTTACCGTTCTTGAAAGGAGTGGGCAGCCTGTGCCACACAGGGCCATGTGGGGGAAGCACCAGGTTTGGTCAGGAGGCAGAGGTATGGAGGAGGAAAACATGGACAAGAGTTTCCTTATAGTTTCCATGGGGAAGAACTGGTGAGGCAAGATAAGTGGGTTTAGGATTGGAAAGTTTGAATAACTTCATCAGGCTCTGTGATGACGGGCTCTCTCCAGTTGGCTGAATCCTGGTCTGGGGATGATTAGGGTAAGGCAGTAGTGGCTCTGCCTGAGAGCCTGTCCCATGAGGAACCAACACCACTGCAGTGGTGTCTGTGGTCCCGATTGGTTAGTTTGCATATGAAAGGTAGCTGTTTGCAGTCTTTGGGGAAGGAGTAGCCCTGAGAGGGGCATTCTCCAGAGTCTGCCCCTCCCAGCCCAGAGCCCAGGATGTCACAACATCGGAAAGGCAGAAAATAGGGGGCACCTGGCTGACTCAGTCAGAAGACCATGTGACTCTTGATCTCGGGGTTGTGAGTTTGAGCCCTACATTGGGCCTGGAGATTACGTAAATAAATAAACAAACAAACTTAAAAAAAATAGAGGAAATCAGAAGTCATGATTAATCCACTCAGAGTTTATCAGAGTGTTTTTCTACTTTCATCATTCCTTTTGCATTTAGTAGCTGGCATTTCTCCGTTTTAAAAAAAAGTTTTCTCCCTTAGAAATTAAAAATACTGTTTCTCAATTTTAGCTATTGCCAGCTATCACACTGTTGTAGTCCAGTGACTCATCCATGTGCTTCAAGTATAATGAGATCCCTCTTCTAGATGCTGGAGATGGGACAGGTACATAAAGTCAGGGTTCTCTGCACTCCCGGATCTTATGTGCTAGTGATAATGGGGTGAAGGACAGACAGGAAACAAGATACACAGGTTCTTCTGCATGCGAGACTGTGATGAGGGCAATGGAGAAAAATAATGCAGAGGAGGCCACAAGTTTTGGCGCATGATAGACCGCACAATAGGGCCCAGGTGAATGGGGTCACACTGAAGTAAAGACCCAGTGGAATTCAGGAAGCAAACCAAGTGGCTCTCTGTGGGAAGAATGGTCCAGAAGGGGAAACAGTTAAGTGCAAAGGCCTTGAGGCTGGTTTGAAGAAAAGCAAAGAGGAAGATGGCCTGGAGCAAAATGGGTGAGTAGTGAGAACTAAGGTCAGGGGTACCTGGGTGGCTCAGTCCGCTAAGCTCAGGTCTTGATCTCACGGTTGTGGGTTCAAGCCCTGCATTTTTTTTTAAAGGGACAAAGGTGCCTGGGTGTCTCAGTTGGTTAAGCCACTGGCTTTGGCTCGGGTCATGATCCCAGGGTTCTGGGATCGAGCCCCGCATCGGGCTCCCTGCTCAGCGGGGAGCCTGCTCCTCCCTCTCCCTCTGCTGCTCTACCTGCTTGTGCTCTCTCACTCTCTCTGTCAAATAAATAAAATCTTAAAAAAAAAAAAAGAAAGAAAGAAAAGAAAGAGGGTTAGAGGTAACAAGGGATCAAATCTTGGAGGGCCTCACAGGCATTGTCTAGGCAGGAGGAAGCCACTGGAAGTTTCCACACATGCTAGCATTTCAAATGTTAGAACAAGCTTTCTGCTTAGACTTGCTTCATTCTCAGACACCATGTCAAGTTCAATGTGTGAATGTGTTAATGGCCACAATGTCCCATCTGTTTATTCCCTGAATGTTCTTGGAAGCAGCTGTTGAATGCAATGGTGAGGGAAACAACGGGACGGGCCCCTGTCCTCCTGGAGCCTAGAGTCAAGTAAGGGAAGAGAGACCATGAAATAATTTCTCACACAGTTGTCAAAGGCGACTGTGCCTCCAACCCAGCCTGGGAGGGAGGTTGGGAAAGGCTCCCCTGAGGATGGGACTCCTCTCTTCCAGCATCTGAAGCATGAAAGGAGTCAACAACTTGGAGAGAGGAGAGGATTGTTCTAGGCAAAAAGAACAGTATGGGGGAGCAGGGGGAGTGCGGTGCAGGACAATGTGGAAAGCAGGTGCCCGTGTCTTCTCTCAGAGCAGACACTAGGTGGAGAGGACAGATCAGGGCTTGGAAGGGCCTTCTTCCACGTGCAGAAGGGCCTGGCAGCTGAAGATGGATAGAGTCCGACAGCAGGCGACATTATGGTCCAGGAAAGCAAAGGGGGTGCTGTGAACGCAGGAGAAGGCTCTAGGGATGGGATGATGTGGTCAGATTCCAGAGACACTGGGGAGGCAGGGTGTAGGGAGGGGGTAGATCTGACAAGATTCGTCTCCATAATCAATAGGGCGTGGGGTGGAGGAGAGGAACCTCCAGTTCTGATGTGTTTTTGGAGTAGTGTTGTTGGGGTCCGGAGCCGATGGCCAGGAAAGAATTCTTGAGACGCTTTTGGTGCCAAAAGATGATTTTATTAAAGCACGGGGACAGGACCCATGGGCAGGACCCATGCTGGCCTGGGATTGTGAGGAACAACTGATTATACACTTTGGGGTTGGGGGAAGTAAAGACAAAGGGAACTTCTGAAAGGATTTTCAGATGCTGAAGAAGACTTACAGGATACAGGAGGCCTGGCTATTGTTAAGCGAAGGTGGTTTTTCTCTCCAGCAAGGCATTAACATTAAGACGGGAGCTTCCTGGAGGACCGTTCTACTCTGCCCACCTCAAGTATTTGTCAGTGGGCTGCAGGTTATAAGGACGGTTAATTTTATCTACATTTCCTCTGGTCTTTGTTTCCCACATGGGTTTGGCATCGGAGGGTTCATCTCGGAGCTTGACATTTCCCCTTGACCTTTTCGTTTCTATCCCCACCCCCAAGGTTGCATTAGCAGCCTGCTGAGTTTAATCAAGTCTGTTGAGCACTTGAAAATCCCCTGTCCTGGTGATACTGGGAGTGAAGGGATAATCAGTCTATTTCCAGAACCCAAAGAGGGTTAGGATAGAAAGTAGCTTTTCTTTAGCTCTCGTCCCTCCCACCACGCCTTCCCCACTGGAGCTCCTACATCTGTGAGCATCTCTGGAAGGAGACTAGAGGCCTTTGCTTAATGCTTAGAACTGCTGAAACCACCAGTTCACCCATCTCAACACTAATCCCATTTCCACTCTGCTCCTTAAATGGGATTTGGCTTCTGGACATTGAGACGTGGGTGTGGGCCCCCTCTCCAGGTTCCCTACAAATTCCCCCACGCACGTCAAGCCAGGGGCCTCGGCAGGGTCATCTGGTTACATAGAGCAGGGGCCGGCCGCTCTCCCCAGAGGGACAGAGCCCCTCTCCTCGCCTCCTGGGCCCTTCTGGCTGGCTGAACAAGGTACATGGCGGCCCCTGATCCAAAGCTTCTCAGACCTCCAGGGCAGGCACAGGGAGAGCAAGGGGCAGGACCACGGGTGTTTTCCTGTGGTCAGTCTGTCTCACTTTCACCTTTTCTGTGTGGTTACACAGACTTTGCTTGTTAATGAGACTCTGGGTGCGCTGAGGTCCAGACAGCTAAGGAGGCCTTTCCACTGTGTGTCACGCTGGGGAGCGGTGGGAGAACAGGACAGGACTCCTGGGGATTTAACACATTTTCAAATGATATTTGCTAAGTGGTTATGTTGCGGTTTTCGGGAACCTCTCCTATTCTAATTACCATGGGACATGGTCGTGATAGAATTTTGATTCCAACCTGGCGAAGTGTGCCGATACCAAAGGCTAGTCAGGAAGGCAAACCTTCTAGTTGAGGTTTACTAAGAAATGTTTGAGGTTTATGGAGAAAAATAAAACACATGTTTGGAAAAAAGCACCCCCTACCCCCATGTCATACACACAAGACAAAAGCCTTATTTCATCAAACAACAATACTTAAGCAGATATAAGGAAATGTCTCCCGGGCGTGCAGCATCTCATGAGCAGGTTTTGTACCCAGAATGTTCTTGACTGCACTCACAGCATTGTTTTACCTCTCCACAGGCCGCAGACACCAGACGCACACCCCGAGGTGGAAGAAGCCAGCTGCCGACGACAGGGACCATGGCAGCCAATGCAAAGGGCAGCAAGTCTGAGCCAAACCACGTGATTTTCAAGAAAGTCTCCCGGGACAAGTCGGTAAGTGGTACAGAAGTGAGTGGTGTGATGGGGGAGAAAAAATAATATATATATTTTTAAAGGATCTTTCTTGAGAATAGACCCAGGGCACCTGGCTGAGCATGCAGCTCCCGATCTCATGAGTTCAAGCCCCATGTTGGGTGTAGAGATTGCTTAAAAAAGAAAGAAAGAAAGAAAGAAAGAAATAGACACAATCAATACCAGAATCCTGAGAGGTTGAGGGAAGCTCCATGTCTGTGTTCTGTCTCTATTTTGCAATGAATGATCAATGAGACATAATTGAATGAATGAATTGAACATGTAGAACTTCTTTTCAGTCTCCTAAAGAACCTAACTCTGAGACCCTTAATTTTCTCCTTGTCTCTCAGCCCCCACCCCCTTACTTCCAATTTTACTTCTTTTCCTAGCTGCCCTTGAACAAATGACTTGACATTTCAAACACTGTTTTGTTGATAGTAACTCATCTGGTCTTTTGTCATCCCATTGCCTGCCAGGGGAAAGCCCCAGTGCTGGACCAAGGCAGCTCTGTCTTCTGTGTGCCTACCCCAGCCACCATGCCCTCAGTCCTCTCTTGGCTCGGGGTCACTGGGTAAGGGAACATGGTACCCATATCCGGGCAGCTTGTGTGCTTGGCAGAGATGACGCCACTGTTGACCCTATCGGGGCACAGTAGACAGCCTAGAATTGCTCTATTTTCTGTGCTTTATAAACCTGAACTTTGGATTTTTCCTTTTGGGTTTCTTAAATGTTAAGCCAAAGGCCCAGAGGAAACTCTCTGATTCTCATAGCGCAACACAAGAGAAACAGGTTTGCACCAGGCATTCTCCGCCCTTTCTGTTCCCAGCTGAGGAACTCCGCTTTGGGGTGATGATTTGAGGACCCCCTCAACCATTCCCCAAACTCTCTCCCAACTTTGCATCTTCTCAACACACTTTGTCTTGACTTCTGGCAGAAGAGAGAAACCACTCCTGCCGGGCCCTGTCATTTTCCCACTTTTCTTCCCCCCTCATATCTATACACAACCTTTGAACCAAGAAATTTAGAACTGTTGTATATGGGGGGGGAAAATCCTTCTGTTAATGTCTCACATATTAGGACTATTCCAATTGCAACCTCTGTATGGCTCTAGGCATGGTGCACCAGGAGCCCTGGGCCCATTTCTCGGTGATTCTCTCCACTCTGCCCTCTTCTGTGATCTTCATCCTCCAGCTGGTGGCAAGATGGCTGCCTGGCTCCAGGCATCTCACCCTCACTTCCTTCCCAAAGAAGGAAGAGGCTCTTGCTTCCCGGTATCTCTTCTTCAGAGTGGGAAAATATTTTCCCAACAGCCCTCCAGCAGACTTCCCTCATATCTCATTGGTCAAAAATGGGTCTCATGCCCACCCTAAACCAGTCCTGAGCCAAAGGAATTGGATGATCATAATTGGATCAGACCCCTCAAGAACCATCCTCCGGGGCTGGCCTCACCCCATGGGGGATGGTAAAACCGTCAACATAATTGGCAACTTGTATCCAGGAAGAAGGGTGCTTGGTTTGCTGGTTGAACAAGCAGCCGGTGGGCTGCAGTCCCACATTGTTCAGCCCCATTTCTCTTCTTGCTCCTGCCCCTTGCCTTCCCTCCCCTTCCAATTGCTGCAGAAGACATGCCTTTGCTCCCAGCTGAGGTTCATGCTATTTACACCTGGGTCTCAGGGCCCATCTCCTCCCTAGCATCCTCCATCATCAGCCTCTCCCTCCCTCCCTCCCAGTTCTTTGCCTGAGCATACAAACAAGTACGGACCTCATGCATCTTAAAGACAGCAACCAACAAACTCCCCTTGACCCTATTGCCTTTCCAGTTCCTCTTCCTCCTCAGCTAAAGCTTGAAAAAGAAGAAAACACACTCTCTCCACCTACCTTCAGTCTTCTCTACTCCCAACCACAGTCAAATGCCTAACTGGCTTTCTCTTTGTCCATTCATTCTCCACTTTGCTGCCGTCATCTCCTCCCTAAAATGGGGCTAATTCCTATCTCACAGAGTGGTTGTGGGGATTCAGTGAAATAACCTAGTAGGTGCTGAGCTTGGCACCTGGGACATGATAAATACTCTGTTGTTTAGCTGCAGGCCTTTCATGCTGCTCAAAATGCTTCAACATTGGGGGTGCCTGAGGGGCTCAGTCGGTTAAGCACCTGCCTTCGGCTGAGGTCATGATCCTGGGGTCCTGGGATCGAGCCTTTTGTTGGGCTCCCAGCTCAGCTGGGAGCCTGCTTCTTCCTCTCCCTCTGCCCCTCCCCTGCGCTCTCTCTCTCTCACAAATAAGTAAAATCTTTAAAAAATGCTTTACTATTTTCCTAGAGTCTTTAAGGTTGGGCCTGTAAGACCCTTTCCGGCACCAGCCTGCATTCCCATTTGGTGGCCATTGGTTCCAGAGGCATTCTGGGCTTTGTATACACTGATTTTTTGGTTTTGTCCAGAAAACATCCTCATACCATCAAACACCTACCTCCTGCCCAGCCACCTGCGTAGGTAGTCCTTGGGGTGATTCAACATCAGTCCTACAAAGTGAAGGTATAGAGATTCACTCCAGGATGTCTGATACAAGGGGGTGGAAATAGGAGATGATTGAATGCCAACAGAAATGATTCTGGGAGTTCACGGACATAAGAATACGAATTTAAGAGGCTTAGGGAAGAAGGGGGCTAGGCAGAGTGCACAGACTCACTCATTGGTGCCTTTAGCAAATGTGGATTAGAATCCTGTTGTGCACCAGGTACTGTGGTAGAAACTTGATGGCTGAACGATGAAAGAATTCCCACAATCAAGGCACTCACAGTCCTGTGGCTTAGAGCGGTGAGTGATGGTGAATGCAACCCATGCTCTTCCACAAAGGGGTTTGGCAGAGACCTTCACTGCAAAGGACACACAGCAGACAGGAAGAGGACTGAAACAGCGGTCTTTGCCCCCAACCCCCCCGCCCCTTCTGCTCAGAGCATGGGTTCAGGTGTACCTGTCCAGCAGCTCACCTGGTAGGATTTCAGGGACTCTGGAGCTCCTGCCTCTATGCTCAGTTCAGATACACTTCTAATGAGGAGGGGAAACCTTTCATTCACAGCCAGAAATAAGAGGTTTAAACATTGGGATGAGCCTCATTTGCATAAGTATAACTTTCCACTGAAGTATTACTAGTGAATTCAACAAGGTCACCTGGTTAATGTCAGACCTGAGCTTGGTGGGAAAAGGTGGGAGAACAGGAACCATTCAAAGGGGTGGGAAGACTTCCTTGGAGCAAATTTATGGGACCAAGGAGAGAGTCCGACTTGCCTGCAATCCATAGTCTGCCCACAGCCAAGCAGGGAGAGAGGAGGGAATGGGCAAGTGGCAGAGCCAGGCAGGAAGTCTTCTCAAGACTAATCAAGATGTGGAGTGCCTGCTGGCTCAGTCGTTAATCAGGTCATGATCCCAGGGTCCTGGGATCGAGCCCTGCAATGGGCTTCTACCTCTCCCACTCCCCCTGCTTGTGTTCCTTCTCTTGCTGTGTCTCTCTCTCTGTCAAATAAATAAATAAAATCTTAAAAAAAAAAAAAAAAGAGTAATCAAAATGTGTCAGTTGTTGCCAGGTTTGGGGATTTTGGGGGGGTTTTTTTTTGGTTGTTGCTGATTTTGAACATGAATGTGCTAGTGTTCTTTGGCCACTTAGAATCTGCATCTGTTCTTCCTACAGGTGACCATCTACCTGGGGAAGAGAGACTATATAGACCATATTGATCAAGTAGAACCTGTGGGTAAGTTGAGTTTGGAGTAAGATTTAAATTTTAATGCTGGTTTTCCTTAAAGCCTTCAGACAACAGCTCCTTTTGTATTTTTTCAAATGGGCTTTGCTAATAATCTGATCAAAGAAATGCAAATTAAAACGTCAGCGAGGTAGCCACTGGCTGATTGGAAACAATTTCCAGGCGTGGGGGAGACAAAGGACTCCTTTCTAGAATATGCAAAGAAACTCAGCAATAAGAAAGTAAAATCCACTTAGAAAATGCACCAAGGGGCGCCTGGGTGGCTCAGTGCGTTAAAGCCTCTGCCTTCGGCTAGGGTCAGGATCCCAGGGTCCTGGGATAGAGCCCTACATCGGGGCTCTCTGCTCAGCAGGGAGCCTGCTTCCTCCTCTCTCTGCCTGCCTCTGCCTACTTGTGATCTCTGTTAAATAAATTAAAAAAAAAAAAATTTTTTTAATGAAAGAAAATGCACCAAAAACCCGAAAAGCAGTTCATTGAAGAAGATATATGGAAGATATATGGATGGCAAAGAAGCCCATGGAAAAATGGTCAACATCATTGGCCATTAGGGAAATGCAAATTAAACCACTATGGACTGGAATTTCATTATATCCCTGTCAGAATGGCTAAAATGGGGGCGCCTGGGTGGCTCAGTGGGTTAAGCCTCTGCCTTCCGCTCGGGTCATGGTCCCAGGGTCCTGGGATCGAGCCCCGCAACGGGCTCTCTACTCGGCAGGGAGCCTGCTTCCCTTCCTCCTTCTCTCTGCCTACTTGTGATCTCTGTCTGTCAAATAAATAAATAAAGTCTTTAAAAAAACAAAACAAAACAAAACAAAACCAAACAAAACCAAAAAAAGAATGGCTAAAATGAAAAATAGTGACAACACCAAAAGGTGGTGAGTATGTTGAGAAACCGGATCACTCATACATTGCTGGCAGGAATGTAAAAGGGAACACGTACTTTGGAAGAGTTTGGCAGTTCCTTTAAAAATCAAACACACACGTCCCATCTGACCCAGCAGTTGCATTCCTGGGCACTCATCCAGAGCTGTGAAAACTCACATCTACACAAAATCCTGTGTGCGATCGTTTATGATAGCTTTATTTGTGATCACTCCAAACTGGAAGGAACCCAAACGTCTCTCAATAGGTGAATCAGTTGAAACGGGCAGTGGCACAACCATACCATGAAATCCTACTCGGAAATAAAAAAGAACGAGCCACTGATAACACATAACAGCGTATGGCTCTCAAGATCCTGCATCATGCCGAGTGGGAAGAGCCGATCTCAAAAGGCCACAATGCTGTACGATTTCACTTAGATGATAATCTAGGGATGATGAGATAATGGCAATGGTAAAGTGATCAGTAGTTGCTGGGAGGGGGCGTGGAGGAGGCAGTGCTGAAGCTGGGTGGTTTGGGGAGGGCATGAACAGAGAGAGAGAGAGCTCTCTGGTGAGGGAGCCGTCAACCGCCACGTGAGATAAAATGACTTGGACCTGCACATACAGTGTACCCCGTATCAGCTAGCTTCCTAGTTTCAATATGGTACTACAGTTATCTAAGATGTAACCACTGGGAGAAACTGAATGAAAGATGCACAGGACTTCTCTGTACTATCTTTGCAACTTCCTGCGAATCTGTAATGATTTCAACTACAATAGCTATCTTAATAAAGAGAGAGTGTAGGGGCGCCTGGGTGGCTCAGTGGGTTAAGCCTCTGCTTTCGGCTCAGGTCATGATCTCGGGGTCCTGGGATGGAGCCCCGTGTAGAGCTCTCTGCTCAGCGGGGAACTGCTTCCCCCTCTCTCTGCCTGCCTCTCTGCCTACTTGTGATCTCTCTCTCTGTCAAATAAATAAATAAAATCTTAAAAAAGAAAAAAAAGAGAGAGTGTAAAAAACCTGGCATTTCTAGGCACTTGAGGGTGAGAATGTCCTTCGGCAGAGTACTTTCTGGAAGGTCATCTGGTAGTATGTCATCAAAAGCCAAATCCAGTTCTACTGTCGATGGATAAAAAAATGTATCTATAAGGCTCTTCATCACCCTGTTCATGATAATGAGGGAAACTGGAAATAAATGCCCTAACTAGAAGGGGTTAATTAAGTAACTTATGGTATGTCCATTCAGTGGAGCCATGTGTGGCCGTTAAAATGATGAGTATGTATTATGTGTGTCTTTGTGTAAGAAGAGGTGTTTGCAATTTATAGTTGTATGAGAAAAGCAGTTAACTGAACTGTACGTATATTGGGGTCTCATTTTTTTAGTAAAACTCCTTATCAGTGCATATACATCTAGTAAAAAAATTCCACACCAGTATCTTGACAATGGGGGATCTCTGAGTGGATATTTCACTTTGTTTTATTCTTTTGCTTACCTTCCCTTTCTAATTTTCCTATAATGAACATGGATTACTTGTGCAATTAAAAACTACAGAGAGGGGCACCTGGGTGGCTCAGTCGGTTAAGGATCTTGACTCTCGATCTCAGCTCAGGTCTTGATCTTGGGGGGTCGGAGTTTCAGCCCTGCTTCCGGCTCCACGCTGGGCGTGGAACCGCCTTAAAAACAAAACAAAACAAAAACCATAGATAAATATATAAAGAAGTCCTCTGGTTTCTTTCATCTTCTCTGCCCTCATTGCTCTCTCCCTTTGGTTTAGATGGTGTCGTGTTGGTGGATCCCGAGCTTGTGAAGGGAAAGAAAGGTGAGCCGGGTTTCTTGTCCTCCCAGGGGCAGGTCTGGTCGGGACTCTGGGGAAGAGGAGCCGGGAAGCAGCTGGTGCCCTCTCTCTCGCACATCCATCACCGCCAGGTGCTGTTACCCACACTCCCTCATTAAAATCTTCAGAACACTGTCCTGTTCACATTGGAGCTCATTGTCTCCATTTCTCAGATGAAAGTTAAGACCCAAGGGAGACACTTGTCCTGGGCAGCAGGGTAAGTAAATAGTGGCTGGAGCGTGGAAGGCAGGTCCGTGGCCTCCACCAACTGTGCATGTGCCTTGGCCAGCAGCAAAACTCAGGAGGGCCCATTGGTGGGTTTATCCCCAAAGGGGGAAATTGAGCCTGCTGGACGTTTCTTTTCTTTTTTAATGGTTACTCTGGTGGTTCTGAGGTAAAGTATCACAGTATCCTTGCAGATATCTGGCAGCTGTGATGTGTGGGGCAAGGAGTTTGGTACTAATAATAGTTGTAGAAACTAAATTAGGGCAGACCTGAGTTATCCTTAGGATAATGTCACTGACTCCATTCCATTCTAACTATACCTTTTGAGTGGTTGCTACTGGCAATCACTAGGAATTTTTCCCACCTCTGGATGTGTCCATAGAGGTCCCACCCATGGATGTGGCAGCTGTGAAGGGGCATGGCAGAAATGGGGCTGAAAATCACCTCTTCTACTCTCTCCGACTTCCTCCTGGGCATCCTGCTTCTCTTGGGCACGTGGAGGAGCCTGGTCTCACCCCTGAAAGCCCACACCCTTGGTCAGAGAACGGCAGCTGCTCTGAGGGAAAGCAGGGTACAGTGAGGGAGGCATAAAGCCAGGTCATCTCTAGGTACCTTCCTCTCACAAACATTGGTTGAGGGATAGGCAAATGATCAGTGGCTCTTCTGAGCTTTTGGTGAAGACACAGACAAAATCTACGAGGGAGGACTTCCAAGGACTTCTGATATGCTTTCTGTTCAAGAAGAATGCACGTTGTGCGCTTTGATTTACCCCATTACAGACTGTTGTAAATAGTCCACACCCCAAACCTGTGGTTTCCTATAATCCTTGCGGTCTGCTGCAGTCATGGATTATGTCTGTTTAATCAAACTGAACTTTCAGAGGTGTTGACTTAGAGAATGCTTGATAAGTTTCTGAGCAAGATGAAAGAAGTGTTTCTGGGATCTGGGGGCTTCTCTCCTCCTGGTCCATGAACCCCTGTCCTGAAGCTCTGGCCGACCCCTCTCTGGCACGGGTCTGTCTTGCTCCCTAGCGCTCTTTTCCTCTGTTTACCACCTTCACTCTCTGTTACAGCCTCCTGAGGTCCCCAAGCTGGTGGGTAGAGAGATGGGGGTGGTAGGATGGAGGACACAGGGGAGTCTGTAGGCAAAATATGTGGTTCATGGAAGGTGCCTCCCCGTCCTCTGACTCACATATGCCTTTAGAGTAACCAGCACAAGCCCCAGCGAAGGTGCTGGATCTCCAGAAGTGTGCGGGCATCTGGGTGGCTGGGTGGTGTGGTTCTCAAAACCGTACCCTCCAGAGGCTCCAGGTGGGCAGGCACTGGGGAGGGGCAGGCAGTGTCCAGGGTTGCCCTGTGCTCACCCGGCCAGGAGGGGGGCGCCATGCTGATGGGACAAGCCCACCTTCCTCTCGTCTCCCTTCCAGTGTATGTGTCTCTGACCTGCGCCTTCCGCTACGGCCAGGAGGACATTGATGTGATCGGCCTGAGCTTCCGCAGGGACCTGTACTTCTCTCAGGCCCAGGTGTTCCCGCCCGTGGAGGCTACCCCTGCCCCCACAAAACTGCAGGAGAGCCTGATGAAGAAGCTGGGAGGCAACACATACCCCTTCCTGCTCAAGGTGGGTGACTCCTCTCCCCCTCCAGGTCCCTGCCCTGGTTCCTTCGCCCACAGCACCTTGCAGCATGACCAGGAGGGAAGGAGAGGGGATGGAGCAATGACTTCACATTTGTGGGCCTTCAAATTGCCTCCTTGGAGGAAATTCTAGATCGCACGGGCTGTGATTGTCTTTTTTTAAGCCCTTGAAAATAGCCTCTCAGCCTCTGAAGACACCAGTTCAACCTACAGTTTAAATATTTCCCTTCATCCGACCACCTAATTATATGGGTGGTTATTCCTTCACTTGCTTGGCTATAAAAAGAAAGAAGTGGCCCTCAGTTGGCCTGGAGGAGCTCGAAACACGAAAGAGCTCCCTGCCGGACGGACGGGAGAGCGTACTCAAGTCAGAAGTCGTCCTTCGCCTTGACTGCTGGGCCTTGGGTCCCTAGATAAATAGCCCCATTTCTCGCGGGGGGAGTCCTGGCGACCTGCAGTGCCTCTGAAAGGCTTGGGCTTGAACTCGGGAAAGCTGCCACTACCTCTTTTACTAGCATGTTCATGTGTCTTAAGTTTATACATTTCTCCAAAGTTCTACGGCTCAGTTTTCAAAGGGAAGGAAATTCTGACACACGCGGCAACACGAATGAACCCCGACGACATTAGACTGAGTGACAGAAGCCAGACACACAAGGACACACAAGTGTCTGATGCCAATTACATGGGAAACCTGGAGCAGTGAGAGTCATAGACACGGAGTGTAGAGTAGTGTGTGGGGTTAGCATTGACCGGGGTTGGAGCTTCAGTGCATGAAGGTGAAAACCTCCTGGGAGTGGATGCTGGGAATATTGCAGGACAACGTGGATGGACATCATACCACTAAACGGTGTGCTGAAAACCCAAGTCTCACGTTGTGCATACTCTACAACTTTTTTTTTTTTTTTAATCACTTGAAAAAACAGTTTTGTGGTCCTGCGTGTTCTCACAGTCTGGTACTGGGGAGTTTGAAGGGACATCACCTTGGAGAGCTAACATGCCAACACATCTCAAAAACCTTAAAAATGTGATTTTGACCTATGGTTCCCTTCCTAGCAGCATAGCCTGTGAACTTAATTGGCACAAAATTGTGCCGAGGTGGATGAAGAAGGTTTATGGCACCCTTGTTTATCATGGCAGAAAAGCAAAGTTCCAGTGACTGAAGCATCAGCCGACCAAGGGGGCTGGCCAAATTCAATGTGGTGTTACCAAAGCCCGGAAGAGTGGTGCCACTCATGGCACAGCGAAGCGGTCATAATGCACTCCTAGGAGGGTGAGGGCGGGGATGGTAGCAAAGGAGATGACAGGACGCGTGCCTCACTGGGTCTCATCTCTGTAACACACACACGTGTATGTGCATATTCGTGTGTGAGGGATCCCCCGGGACACTCGGAAGTTCGCGTTCATGATCTCATTCTGGGTCTTGGCAATATGGGTGAAGATTGCTTTTTGTGGGTTTTTGTTGTTGTTGTTTTGTTTGCTCCTCCTTCCTTTTCCCAGTTTTGTACATTGAATGCATATTACACGTGGAGTGACCACCTCTGAATGAACTGGTTTGTTTCCTCCCGCAGTTTCCTGATTACTTACCCTGCTCGGTGATGCTGCAGCCCGCTCCGCAAGACGTAGGGAAGGTGAGTTGCAAAAGAAGGGCCGTGGATTTGTCCATTCCTTCAAATTACTTTTTTAAAAAATCGCCTTTTGTTCTGGACAATTTCAAACATGCACAAAAGCAGAGAGACATTGCAATGAATCTTATCTTTAGCAGCCTTTAGCCAGGACGGAGCCTGTGGACGGAACACTAATCAGTCCCGCCCCTCGTGGGTCCCACAGGTTGCGGGGGAGAATCCGGCAAAAACGACATAACAGGTGTCTACGGGGTCCATCCAAGGACAGTAGGCACTCTGGAGAACAAGAGGCTAGTGAGAGGCAAAGGGGTACCTTGGGGGGTAGTTAGTTGTTCAGGATGTGTAAAGAAGACCTCCCCAGGAGGGTAAAGGAGAAGGCACGCTATCCCAGGGGAGAGCCTTCCAGAGAGAGAGGCATGTTGCCTGGTGTGCTGGGGCGGAGGAGCAGGGCGAAATGGAGAGATTAGGTCAGAGGCGTGGGGAGGTGTGGACCCTGGGGCCATTTCTCAGTGAGCAGGGAGCCACTGGTGGGCCCTGAGCAGTAGGTGCTGACTTGGGCTTCCCAAGGGCACTCTGGCCACTGTGCAGAGAGGGTTTGTGTGGGCCAAGCACAAGCTCCCATGGGGGGAGAGAAGGAAAGGGGCTGAGTGTGTGCCAGGAGGAGTCACCCAGGCACCCCTCGTGCTGGTGTATTTTTAAACTAGATCTCAGAATTGTCACAATTCCACAGCTGTAGAACCAATGAGGCTGTGGCTCATATGCCACTGTCAACACAACCAACTTCATGTCCTTCAGCCGACTGTACTTCTTCCCTCGGGGTAGCTGGTGAGCGCGGTGCCGCCCCCGGGCCCGCCGTGCGCTCGGTGACGTGCAGAGATGAGCTGACTGGGGAGGAGCCCCACAGGGCAGAGGCATTTGTTCTGCCCACACAACATATTGCTATTGAGTCAGTTTAAAAATCAGAAGACTTTGCCCCCAATTCCATTTCCAGCTTCTTTGCAGAAGTTGGAAGAGCCACCAGCACCCGGCCGGGTTCCAGCCGGGTTCCAGCCGGGCCACACCTGGGTGTGGCCAACCGGCCCCCAAGGGTTGGATCCCCTGCCAGCCCCGTGAGCACCTGTGTCTACGGTGTGACCTCAGTGCCATGCATGTGGGGTCACACAAAGAGGGACAACTAAATGGGCGGGGAGGGCTGGACACCATACATGATCTCCCTGGGAGCTCGGGGCCACAGCCCACTCCCAGTCCTGACATTGTTCTTTCCTTCTGTTCTTTCTGCACGTGGCAAATCTAGCCATCATGGGGTAGCCCTCCAAAGGACATGGCTAAGACAAAAAGACAGAGTGCCGTTATAACTTTCTGGTGGGATGTGTGACCCCATCCCAGCTGCCGGGAAGGGAGGCATGGACTGAAGCCTTGTCTCTTCTCTTGCCCTCTGCAGTGCTGTGGTGTCGATTTTGAGGTCAAAGCATTCGCCAGAGACAGCACAGAGGACGAAGAGGACAAAGTACCCAAGAAGTAAGAGTGTAGCTGTGGGTCAAGGGGCAGCACCCAGGGTGGGGGGCAAGGAGCTGGGGTAGGAAGCAGCCCCTCCCTTCAGCTCCCCCGACAGAGCTGCATGGCCAGGGAGATGGGGCTTGCCCGGCCCAAGCAGTCAGGGTGTCTACACATGGGGCAGAGTCAGCAGCTCATCATCTGGGGAAAAAAAGGAAAATGGCAGAGGGGTTGGCAACCTCAAGGTTCACAGAAGCCTCTAGCAGCCCCTGGATTCCCTTTCTCTTCAGTTTTCTTCTTCTCGGTCATTATTCCACTGTGATGAATATATACCACATGAAGTTTGCTGTTGGAACCATTTCTGAGTGTGCGCTTTGGAGGCCTTAAGTACTTCCCCTGTGTCGTGGGACCATGCTTACAACCCTGTGTGCTGTCTGCCACCCCAAACTGTCCCCACCCAGAACTTTTCATCACTCCAGACAGAGGCTCTCTGCCCATCAGGCAGTGACCCCCCCCCGGCCCCCCGACCTTGTGGACCCCAGCGTTCACCTTCCCTCTTGAACCTGAACGAGGTTTTCTCTGGTGCCCTCAACACTCTTCCTCACACTCAACACACGCACTGTGGAGCCTTGTTCTAATAAATAGCAATTATAGTAACAAGTCACATTTGTGGGGAGTGTGGAAGCATGTCACGCATATGAGGCGTATAGAGCACCCCCCCACTGTCACCCCCTGGCTGTGCCCTGGAGACTGAGGGTGACAGTGACCTCAGGCCCACACCGTCATCCCATGGGAGCGTTCCTGAAGCTTCACAGCGTGAGGCCGGGGACAGAGGCCTGGACGCCCTCTGAGGAGACCCGGCAGAAGCCCAGAACTGTCTGCGTTTGTCATCCACAGGAGCTCCGTGCGTTTACTGATCCGGAAGGTACAGCACGCGCCCACAAAGATGGGTCCCCAGCCCCAAGCTGAGTCCTCCTGGCAGTTCTTCATGTCAGACAAGCCCTTGCACCTGGCTATCTCCCTCAACAAAGAGGTGAGCCGCGGCCAGCGCTGGGCCCCGCCTGGGAGCAGGCCTCGGGTGTGTTGCAAGCTGTCTTGTGTCTAGGCATGGTTAAAGCCCCGTTTGTGAACACGTGTGCAAGGGTGCGCCCAAGATCCTGGATCTTGAGGAAGTCACTGCTGAGGAGAGCCCTGTCCCTGAGCTCCCCACTGACTCCCCTTCCCAGCACTCATTCTGCCCCAAGTGGCCTTGTGACTCCACGTGGGACCCCCCACGGCCACCGCTGCTATGACCCTCAGGACTGGGCATTCCAGGCTGGAGCACCCTTGCTCCACTCCACCCTGGTCACTGCCATTCTCCTCAGTGCGCCCCAGACGAGGCAAACAGTGTTCCGTGTTCTAAAGGAACCCTGTTGCTATCCCTTTATCTTGAAAGTGTGGGAATTCAGCCACTTTGATTCTGGTTAAAGGATGGAGATAAACCTAGAAAACCATGAGATTCACGATACCATGATGCTCTGTTCCTCTTTTCTGATTTAACTGCTGTTTCAGACCTATTTCCATGGGGAGCCCATTTCGGTGACGATTACCGTGACCAATAACACAGAGAAGACAGTGAAGAAGATTAAAGCATTAGGTAGGAACTTCTCAAAATGGGAAGGCAGAGTCTTCTAGAATCTCTGCATCTGGTCCTATTTCCCCAGGGTCTCTCCTGTGGGCAGATAAGGCCCCCCTCCTGGGTCTTTGAAACTGCCTGTTTACCTCTATTGTCATGGACAGGAGGAAAGACCCTCAGGGGTCACCCCATGCCACCTTGTGTCCCACTTAGAGCTGTCTTTTGTCCTGAAACAACATCCCTGACAGACAATCCTTGATCACTCCCTGGAGGAGCCCCTTGCCAGATGGGAGGTGGGGGGCATGGAAGGAGTTTTCTTTCTCGGATCAGAATTAAATCTTGTGGACAGAGGCAGCACAGTACAGTGGGGAAAGCACTGGACTGAGAACAGTGGGCCTAATTTGTGGGCTCACACCATGTGCGTCCTCTCTGAATTCCAGTGAACATCCACGGCACTGTTCCTGGTCTACCTTCCTGCATTGTGTGAGGCTCCAGGGACTGGAGCCTGGAAGTGCTTTTGTAAACGGTGAAGCCCTACTACAGCATGAGGGCCAAGCTTTGCCTGATACTACACATGAGGCACAACCTGGCTACTGTCCTATCCCTTTCTTCAGCTCAGGGGGCATCGAAGTACAGGGGATAGTTGGATATCATGGTCTTCTAGGGCCTACCTAAAAAAGACACGACAGAATGACCAGGGAGGGTGACCTCTCAGTTCACCACTAACTCAAACAACATTCAGTGACTAAGACAAAGCCAGACTCATAGTGTGTGTAGGGTGACCAACAGTCCTGGCTTGATCAGGATTTTCTTTGTCTTTTCTTTTTTTTAAAGTTTTCTTTCTTTTTTTTTTTTTTAAGATTTTATTTATTTATTTGACAGACAGAGATCACAAGTAGGCAGAGAGGCAGGCAGAGAGAGGAGGAAGCAGGCTCCCTGCTGAGCAGAGAATCCAATGTGGGGCTTGAACCCAGAACCCTGGGATCATGACCCGAGCCAAAGGCAGACGCTTTAACCCACTGAGCCACCCAGGCGCCCCTAAAGTTTTATTTCTTTACATAATCTTTATCCCAATGTGGGGCTTGAACTCATGACCCTGAGATCAAGAATTGCACGCTCTTCTGCCTGAGCAGCTGCATACCCCTTGACCAGGATTTCCAGTGTTAGAATGGGCTACCTCCAGGCAGATCAAGATGGTTGGTCGCTTGGGTCACACACCACTTTCCTCTTTCCTTGTGTATGTGCATCATAGATAAGATTCAAGAGTTTGGGTGCATGCTTACTAAAGAATTACTATAGCGCTTTCTTCATGCTCATATGAGTGCGTATGGATTTGTCTTATGTTGGTCAAGTTCATCTGCATTCCGTCTTCGTAGGACCTGGTATTATTTAGCATGTTGTATGTAGTGTCTAATACAGTATTCCAGAAGTAGCAAGGTTGAGAAAGTATCATTGGATACTTTGGTTTTAAATTATTTCTCAAAACTTTATGAGTTCTTACATCAAAGCCATTCATTTTTTGAGAGAATTGTTGAAATTTCCAAAGCAAAATGTTAGTAGCTTTCTATAGGCTGGGCATTGTGCTGAGTGTGTCACACAAATTGTTTCTTCTACTCCTCAGACTTGATTTGAATAGAGATTAAAAATTTATTTTTTTTGATCATCACAACAACCATGTAAGTTAGATGCAAGTGTCACCCCCATCTTGCTGCTGGGGAAAGTGAGGCATAGAGGAGTTAAGTGACACCCCATGGCTGACAGCTAAGCTGGGATTTGAGTCCAAGGAGTCTGGCCCCAGAGCCCACCTTTCCACCCACATACACAAGTCAGGTCTATGTTGCCGGTAGATGATCTCAAGCTTGGACAACTGGAAGAAGGTTCTCATTACATAAGATAGTGTTGGAAGGGGTGTGGGCTCAGCGGGGAGGAGTCTTCTAGAAGGTGCTGTTTTAGGGAGGCTGGCTCATGGGGCCGAGCTGCCACAGAGCAGATTATTGGCAAACAGGAGTGGCCTGGGGACAGAACTCAGAAACCCCAGCCGTAAAGCCTAGCCTGAGAAGTACACTCCAACAATTGACTGTGTCCCCGGTAGGCGCCGTGCACGCGCATGGAGGGCCCCACATTGAATCACCCACCCCTGTTCTCCCTTTGCAGTGGAGCAAGTGGCCAATGTGGTTCTCTACTCGAGCGATTATTACACCAAGCCGGTGGCCCAGGAGGAAACACAGTGAGTAGCTTCTCGGGTTTCTATTTCCGGGGCAGCTTAGGCTTCCTTGTCAAGTTCCCCTTTCGCTCACCCTGAAAGGGAAGTAGGATGCTTCCCTTCCTTCCCCTTTTCTCACTTCAAGGGCTGCGAAGAAAGTTAGCAAGTCAATTCTGTTCTCAATCGCAAGAGTTCCCAGAGATCTCCCTCACAAGAAATAATGGAAAGGAGAGAAATAAAGATTGAAATGTCACAGTGGGAACAGCTGGAACTTTCTCTTGCTCCTTGGAATAAGTCCAGAGGAATCTGATACGATTTCTGGCCCTGGAGCAGACAATCCAATCGTCTGTCAGCCCAGGCAAGGGTTCTCTGTCTTTTGATTTGAAAATGTGGTACCAGTGACAGCCGGGTTCCAGTGATATGTCACTTCTGAGCCCGGTGTCATGAGCCATTTCTCTCCCTTCATTAAAATCGAAAGCCGAGGAATAGAGAGAGACCTGCCCGGTCCTGCTCCCTACTCTTCATTCACACATAGGTTACTGGGGGTGACGCCTCCCCAAGAGGGTCACTCGGGCAGGTCTTTCCCTCTTTGTGTCACTGATGTGTCTGATGTTTTTTTGTATGCAAAAAATATCACCAGAACTACAAGCAGGGGGCCTGTGAGCAAAGACAACCTGATTCAGCCAGAGAACATGACGTAAACTTTAAAAGACAATTTTAGAATAAACTATTACTCAAAGCAGATCTGGACCCGAGTTTAAATATAGGTCCAGAAGGGAGGGAGGCAGGAAAGAGCTGGAGCTCCTTGGCTGCTCCCTTGGTGCTGCTGGTGGGGGGCTATCTGAGAGGAGAACTCAGCCAGGGACCATTTTATCCTTTCATCATGGGGCATATGCCATTATCTGGACTTCTTTTCAGCAATTCAGTGCATTTTGGACCGAAGGATTCCCAGGACACTGGCGACCAAGAATGGGAGTCAGGGAGCCTGAAAGCTGAGCTGGATTGTGCTTGTGGGTCTCAGACCAGAAGCCAGTCTGGAGGCTGCAGAGCTCAAGGCATTGTCCCTGAACCCCGGGGCTCCCAGGACTCTGGGGCTGACTCCTGGGCAGTGTTTTTAGGGCCACCCCCTGCCTTCTCCTGGGGGGGTATGAGGAGGGAGGCTGCACCAGGAGTGTGGACACAGGCAGCTAGCTGGCTGGCCGGGCCCTGCGGCCGTGTGGACAGCTCTGGGTGCAGGTGTGGTGCGAGCCTGCCGGTGACCAGCAGGGCCAACCTCTGCGGCCTCCAGGAGTCAGGGATGCTCCAGACCTGGCAAAACCTTGCTGCTGTGTCCCTAGCTCCATTCCTGACTTGCAGACCCACAGTTTGGCACAGGTTCCCTGTGTCTGTCTAGGGCTGAGACACACACTACCTGACCAGTGACCCAGTGACAGGGAAGAACCAGGAGAGAGAGAGAGCACCGTGTGCTTTGAACAAAACCAGTCGGGTCTGCATGGTTCACGGAGGGCCCCACTGCACCCTCCTCAAACAGCCAGATCCTCCTTACAAGCAACAGCTCTCGGTGACAGGCCATTTCCAGCTGTGGCTTCTTGCTGGCACTGGCCGGACAGCTGCAGCCCACTGCGTGGTGGCAGGAGGAAACTGCTGCGATCCCCGACCCTTGTGTTAGTCAGTCTCATTTAACCCCACAGAATACTCTAGAAACTCAGTGACTCAGAGGAGGATGAGGGACTTGTTGCCAGACCGTTTTGAGATGTCACTAGTATTTCTCATAAGGCAAGGGCACTGATAACCTGAACTATCTTCCCCGTGAGTCAGAGGGAACTTGGATCCTGGAACATGCTTGATGGCTGATAGTGTCTCATGGGACTGATGGTGGCTTTATAGGCCTAAGAACCGTTAGCCAAATATCCACTCTGCATTTCTTCCCACAGAGAAAAAGTGCTACCAAACAGCACTCTGACCACGACACTGACGCTGGTGCCCTTGCTGGCCAACAACCGGGAAAGACGGGGCATCGCCCTGGATGGGAAGATCAAGCATGAGGACACGAACCTTGCCTCCAGCACCATGTGAGTCCTCATAGCTCAGGAGACAAGCCCCCAAGACTCAGTGCACAGGTGGTGCTGGTCTGCCCCCTTCTCGTCTCACTTCCTGGGCTCACGGGCTCACAAGGAGCCTGATCTGATGGCTGTCACTCCAGGCGCAGAGTGAAGACTCCGTGGCCCAGGCGGGCCCACACTCCCTCCCCTGGTGTGACATGGTGGTTAGGGGAGTGAGCTCTGGAGGCGGCCTCATGCCAAACCCCAGCTCCACTGCTCACAGTCTGGGCTACCTTGGACAAATGACTTGAGCTGTCTAAGAACCTCAGTTTTCCTGTCTGTACAGTGGGGGTGCTCCCTTTTCTCATGGGGAGGTTTACAAGGATTACCGGAGACAATCCATGTAAAGTGTGGGGCTGAGTACACAGTGAGTGCTCCAGAAATGTCAGCCATTACCTTCTAAAAATAGCATTAGCTAGTGTAGTACCCTAAACACAGAAACTGAGTGATGCAGGGGCACTTGGCTGGCCCAGTCAGTAGCTTGCGTGACTCTTGATGTTGGGGTCATGGGTTCGAGCCCCGCATTGGGCATAGAGCCTACTTAGAAAATTATAATAAAAAAAATAAACTGAGTAATACAGGTGGCCTCATGCATGATGGAAATGTCATTTATTCATTTCTACCAGGAAAGGTAAAGAACGGGAGGTCCTGATAGCTGCAGATGTCAATTAAATTTCAACGAAGCTAAACACTGCTCTGCTGACCCCAACTCAAAGAACCAGCAGATCTAGCACAAACAGGAGGGAGGCTTCAAGGTCAACTATCCACTGCCACTTCCAGGCAGCCTTCAAGGCTTCCATTCGTGGGACCCTGAGTGTTTGGGGGAGGGCTCGAGGCCCACTCCCTGCCATCCCCCATGTGATGCACTGGGGCTCCCTCTGTGGCCCCACTAGGCCACCTGCAAGGGGATGCCTTTTGGAAGAGGCTCTCCTGCTTGACCTCCATGACCCCGTAGCTCAGGAGCAGCTGTTCTCCAAAACAAGAGTGGGGTCAGCAAACACTTGGCAGGAAGTGGAGTCAATGGATTTTCTGAGAATAATTTGCCAAGTTGGGATGTTTGATTCTAAGGCACTTTGGTGAAGGTCTGGGAGGGTGACCGGCAGGCGCACTGACACTAGATCAGTTTATTCCAGGGGTGGCCATCAAGACCCCAACAGTGGAACGCCACGTTTGTAAAAATGCTGTGTGGTTTGTGGACGGTTTCACAACCATGTAAGTCCTGCATACTTTTGTGAGGAAGGTGAATTTATAGTCATTTTATGGATGAGGAAATTGAAGTTCAGCCAGAAGGAAAGGCTTGACTAAGGTCACCTGGTCGGTTAATGACAAAGCAAAGGCCACTTCTAACCCTGAGTCCCTCCTTTGGCCCCAGCTTCAGGGCTGCCTTTCAGGGGCCTGGAAAGTGACAACCACAGCAGAACCTCTGTGTGTGTGTGTGTGTGTGTGTGTGTGTGTGTGTGTGTGT